GTAGCTCGGCACGATCAATATCAATGCTATGATGACACCAAGGTCTGGTGTGAGTGTTGATGATGATGAGGTTGATGACGTTGGTGATAAGGTTGGTGAGTGTTGATGAGAATGAGGTTGATGGTGTTGGTGATAAGGTTGGTGGCATCAACACGAGTGTCCAGTGTGTTGACTTTGATGCTTGAAGTGATCCCCAGACTGCAGTGGACTACTGCCTTCGGTTCTATCTTGATCTGGACCGCTAACCTGCTATGGGCGCCTTCGGACGTCAGGTAGTGGTGATACAACACACACACTATGATGAGAAGCAACCTTGATAGATTGCTGCTATGCTGACTGAAACTAATATATACTTATGCTGAAGTGATAACTAGTTATGGTGAGTAGAGTGGATGAGGATCCACTCGACCTATGATGATGAGAAAGCATGGTTATATACCTCTTCACAGCATCGCCAGCGATGCTGCTCCTGCTCTCTCTCCAGAGAGTACCTTCTTCATCGAGTACTGCTCAGGGGCCTCTCCTGCTTGGCACCCCTGTGCCTCTTGAGTGGTGTCGACTCCTTCGACACTGCTCCTCCTCCTCATGACCTGGTGTCGACTCCTTCGACACTGCTCCTCTTCCTCAGGACCTGCCTGCTAGTGTCCTATACACTGCTCCTTCTCCTTTGACCGGTGACAGTTCCTTTGACTCTTGTCTCTCGAGCCCCTGAGTGGTAACCATCTGAGCTTGGTCCTCTTCGTGGCTGTGCCTGCTCCTTGAGCTTGGTCCTCCTCGTGGCTGTGCCTGGCCCTCCTCGCATGTGGCTCGTGTCCTCCTTTGCATGTGAGTCCATAGGAGTCCATGGTCTCCATGGAGACTGCACTACGACCATGCTCTCTACTGATCTCGACTAGATCTTCGATACCTGTGCTCCTTCCATATGAACCTGTGACCCTCCTGCTTCTTGAGCATCCAGGCCCATGACAGCCCCATGCTGTTGCACAGGCGGCGTTCATCCACAACAGACTAGCAGGCAGTACTCGTGGCAATGTGACTCCATATGAGCTATTCTACACAAAATGCCCGGAACTACACCACATACAATGTTTCGGATGCATGGCATATGTCGTACTCAGAGGGAGCACTTGCTCGACATGGCTCCGAGACCATGTGGTCGTGAGCAAACATCTCTGTCCACATGCCCTCTGGGGGAGATACTTGGGTTTCTCAGATGCACCTTGTGCAATCAAAGGCCATAAGGTTTGGCTACCTGAGCTTGACCATGTCATCATTACCAGGGACATCCGTTTCTCGGAAGTGGAACCATCGGACACTGTCGCCCCCCCCCCCACACACACCTATCTTCGTCAGCAACCACGATCTCCTACGATCTTACACCTGGCTCTCTCCCGATCCCACATTGGATGAGACAGAATTGGATGATGTCATACCTTCCTCACTGCAGCTGTACTCTTGTCAATGACACTTGGCAACTCATTTGGAACCCCCAAGCTTCGATCATGAGTGGGATTGCATGATGATGGCCATCAAAGAGGCCAGGGAGATCATCATCGACCTCAATGCTATTGCTGCCGATCTGAGAGCAGACCTGGAGGTGATGACGTCCGAGGGGGGGAAACACTTACCAGACCTCACGAGCACTCTCAATGGCACATCACTGCTCGAAACCCCTCACAGTGATGCTACAGCAGACATGTATGATGATGTCTCCATGCTCGAGACACCTTGCACAGAGTCACCTGGTCCCATCAGCTACATGGCCTTCGCCACAGCATGCTCTGACACACCAGCACCCACCATCAGCAATCACCACTTAGATCATATGGTATTTGCGACCACTGTGATGACCGGCACTGCCCTCATTGCAAGTGGACAGTGTCACCGGAATAGGAATTCCGTTCTCCGAGTCCAGAGCATTTGGGAGTGAAAATGCTTATACTTCAGTGTTGTGTGAATCAGGTACACCAGCTAAGGGTCTAGCTGGTGTAGTGGTTTTACTGCTCACTATGTTCGGTTTGGTTACCTGATTCCCGATCCCGTAACAGACAGCAGATACGCAGTGCGGACGGCATCCTGCTGGAACCACTCTCCCTCAATGAAGCTAAGACTTGCGACGACTGGTACAAATGGCAGGAAGCCATGGTCAGTGAGATGGACAGCATGCACAAGATGAATGTCTTTGAGCTAGTCGACATTCCCAAGAGTGGCAAGTTAATCAGTGTTTGATGGGTTTACAAACTCAAGCTCAATGCACAATGATGAGTGACAAGGTACAAAGCATGACTCATTGCACAAGGATATGCTCAACGCCAGGGTCTGGACTATGATCAGATGTTCAGCCTGGTTGTCCGTCTGCAAACAGTCAGGATACTGCTTGCCATTGCATGATGATATGGTTTACATGCAATACAACTCGATGTAAGCACTGCATTTCTGAATGGAAAGATTGACAAAGACATGCATGTCTGGATACCTCCGATGTTTGAAGTAAAGGAGACTGAAGGAAAATGCTATAAGTTAAAGAAAGCTCTTTATGGTCTTAAGCAAGCTGGACGACTGTGGCATACAGCACTGGATGAACAACTACAAGCATTTGGTTTCAGATGATGTAGAGCAGAACCATGCATGTATACATGTGGCTCAAAGGATGCAATGATACTCCTTGCCATATACATAGATGATCTACTTGTCATTGGAGCAACTGTTTCACAAGTACAGTCTGTACGTCAACAACTCTCGAGCATGTTCAGCATCACCAATCAAGGAAATGTATCTCACATTATTGGGCTGAACATAAGCTACAATCAAGAAGCTCGCATGCTCTCCATCAATCAGAGTGGATACATCGAAGGTGTCATAGCAAAGTTCGGAATGGACCAGGCTTGGACAGCCTTGACACCAGTGATGGAGAGCATCAACTCCCTCAAACCATGAGAAGGAAGCATAGCAAGCGCTGAAGAGACTCGTTACTACACCTCACTTGTAGGATCACTGCTGTGGATAGCTCAGGGCACAAGGCCAGATATCGCATTTGCAGTTGGTAGATGTGCACAGTTTGTAGTGAACCCATCTGGAGAACATCTTGCAGCTGCTAAGTGCATGTTAAGATACCTGAAAGGGACAATAGGGACTGGCCTCTCAACAAGAACATCAGGCAGTGGACCATTACTCTCAGGATGGGCAGACAGTGATTGGGCAGGATCACGCGACTGTAGAAGGTTGACAACTGGTTACGTTTTCACAATTGACAGTTTCACATGCAGCTGGGCCTTGCGACTACAACAGATGGTGGCAAACAGCTCAGTAGAGGCCAAATATGTAGCATTGGCGACAGTGGCCAGAGAACTCTTATGGGCCATGATGTTCCTGCGAGAACTGGATCAACCAGTGTTGAAGATGACAGGAATACACATCAGTATCAGAACATCAAATATCTATTCCCATGATGGAGAGCTCACCTTCGATCAAGATGTACTGGTCCTACATAGTGATTCATCGGGTACTCGGGTTATAGCAAATGACCCTCAACACTTCAAGAGGACAAAGCATATTGACATAGCTCACTTCTTCCTGCATGATGAGATTGCAAACAAACAACTTGTGATTGCTCCTGTTCAGAGTTGTGAAAACTTGGCCGATGTCTTGACGAAGCCACTCACCATGCCAACACTCTCACACATTTGATGACTACTTGGATTGACCATTTCATTGGAGAATGTTGGATCGAGAGGGGGTGCTGAAAATGACGATCCAATGAGATGGTAAAAGAACAACATGGAGCCGATCTGATCGAAGATCAGATAGGGCCAATCTGGTTGAGCTACCAATTCGATCATAGATTAGGTCAAGTTGATCTCAGGAGAAATCAGGTGCAACACAGTCCCACTCGTTGTCATGATAGACCATGAAGTAGTAGTACCCCCACATCAGGCAAGTGCCACTCACATGTATATATAACTCACAGAGAGCACTAGGCTCTCGCCACATTCCCTCAGTCAATTGAGTATATTTTGTTCTGTCTTTTAGCAGTGACATCATACTTAGACTCTTCCCGATCACCAGTATCGGGACCTAAATGACGTTTATATTCAACATTTCCTTGTTTTGCTGTCCCTGCTCCTGAATTTGCTGCCCTGCGTGTGGCAGAGGGTTAGTTGTGAGCTCTTTTCCAAAACACAGTAACGCGCGGCAGACTGACAGAGACAGAGAGAGAGAAAGGAACACCCACACACACAGACACAGACACAGACACACAGACACACAGACACACAGACACGCACACCCACACGCACCCACACGCACACACGCACGCGCCTCTTCCTGTGCTGTTGCTCTTGTTGAGGCGAAGGACGCCTTTGAAGGTGTGCATCTCTCGCTTCGACCTCCTTCTCCTACTCAGTGACAACAACGCTTCGGATTGACACTCTCGTGGAGACAGCTTTCGCATCTCTGATCTCCATTCCTCTCTTTCCCCTTCTTACCGCCAACTAGCAACACCGGCCGTCTTGACTACGATTGCGCATCTGGTTTCAAGTGACACTCTCTACCGGTGTACTCCCAGCACTGCCACCGACGCAAACAACTTTGATCCACGTCCTCCAGCAATCTCAAGGCATTGCACCACCATCACACCTCGCGCACACACATCTTCTTGTCCCAGTAGCTCTCCGACCGCACACTCATATAGCGACGCAGATATCTTGACGAACCAGCTCGAGCTCCAGTTCATCGACGCCGACTATCACTTGCAAATTCGAACCGTGCGCATTCTGCGTCGTAATCACCTATCTCCCTTCTCAGACAGCAGCTGACGACTCAGCACCCAGGTAGGGCCCGCCTTAATTCATTCAGCCCGTTTCAAAGCGAAAGCCCAGATCTTTACCGTTGAGCAACCATCGAGCTCAATCTTGCTTGCCTTGAGACTCTGTCACCGACGCAACCAAGAAGTTTATATCTCGACAGCTTCGCTCATAGGCTCGCCATCCGCTCCAACTACAATGATCTCCTCCAGCGCAGGCTCATCTATACGCAAGAAGCGCAACTTCAAGGGGTTGCAGCTGGCCGAGTCGCCCTTGTCAAGCCCAGCAGCTGCCACAACGCCCTCCCAGAGTACGGGCCAAGAATCGGCCACCTCGAATGCATCGACCATCGGCAAATCATCAACAGTAACTCCAGGAGGCTCCCTATCTCTCACAGCAAAGAATGGTCTTGACACAGAACCCAACTCGGGCGCCAACTACCACAACAAACTGACACAACAGTTGGCCAACCTGGAGCTCGGCATCGAGTACAAGCTCGACCTGAAGAATGAAGACCTCAAAACGCTATCAGAACTCGGCGCTGGCAACGGTGGTACGGTAACCAAGGTGCTTCATGAGAAAAGCGGGACGGTGATGGCCAAGAAGGTTGTCTTCATCGACGCCAAACCAAGCGTGCGAAAGCAAATCCTCCGAGAGCTGCAGATCTTGCACGAGTGCAACTCACCCTACATTGTCTCCTTCTACGGCGCCTACCTCAGCGAGCCACATATCTGCATGTGCATGGAGTTCATGGAAAAGGACTCGCTCGATGGCATCTACAAGAAATATGGTCCCATCGCACCCGAGATCTGCGGCAAGATCGCAGTAGCCGTTTCACACGGTCTTACCTACTTGTATGATGTCCATCGCATCATCCATCGTGACGTCAAGCCCAGCAACATCCTCGTCAATGGTGCGGGACAAATCAAGATTTGCGACTTTGGCGTCAGTGGCGAACTCATCAACAGTATCGCCGACACCTTTGTGGGCACAAGCACATACATGTCGCCCGAACGTATCCAAGGAGATCAGTACAGTGTCAAGTCGGACGTCTGGAGTCTCGGTGTTTCAATTATCGAGCTGGCACTTGGTCGCTTCCCATTCTCGGAGAACGGAGAGGAGTCGGATTCAGATGACGACGATGCCAGCGATCTGTTGAATGAGGACCTTGGCGGGACACTCTCCCCGACAAAACCGGCTCCCAAGCTGCAGATGGCCAACAAGGAAAAGCAAAATCGCAGAAAGTCGAAAGCAGCCGGTGTTAGCTTGGCAGGATCGAGTCATCAGATGTCCATCTTGGATCTCCTGCAACACATTGTCAATGAACCGCCGCCGAAGCTGCCGGAAGGTCGCTTCTCCAAGCCGATGGAGGAGTTTGTCAACCTGTGTCTGGTCAAGGATCCTGCAAAGAGGCCGACACCCAAGGACTTGACAAAACACCAGTACGTGATCGCGGCAGAGGCTGCCAAGGTGGATTTGCAAGGATGGGTGGATGCCATGATGTAGAAGCATGTCTAGATTCAGCTACAAACCTTTCCACAACACCCTGCATCTTGACCCCTTTTTTTTTTTTTTTTTTTTTTTTTTTTTTTCTTTTTTCTTTTCTTTCTTTACTGTGTTGGCATGTGTGAAATGTGGGTGTGTACTAATAGAAGTGAAGAAGTTTCGACCCCGATAACTGGTGATTGGGGAGAGTCTAAGTACGATGTCACTACTTCTTTAAGACAGAAACATATATACTCGATTGACTGAAGAACATAGTGAGGATATACAGCACGTGTGTAAACTGTCCCATAATTTTACATGTCACCATACATCACTCTAATGCTCAATAGCTATAAGTTGTATTGCCACACTGTCTGATATCATCTGAAAGTGCTGCTTCTTTTCTCCAAGACTGTGGAATTGATATTGACATTGACTAAAAAAATTGTGCTATGAAGAAGAGCTGATTTTTTTATTTTATTGTGGGACAGTTTATGGAGCACTCCTCAAGAACACCTTAGTACTTTGTATTCCCTCCTTTGGCCTTCAGAACTGCCTTGATGCTGTATGGCATGCTCTCTATTAGTGTCCTACATGTCTCTGGAGTGATCACTGTCCATTCAGCTTCACATCTCTTGAGCAGTTCATCCCTGGACTTCACAATTGTACTATACCATGAAAGTCGCATTTTGAGATGGTGCCAGAGGTGTTCAATTGGGTTTAAGTCCAGCAACTGTGCCAGCCATTGCATAACCTTAATGCTATTGCTTTCCAACCATGTTATTGTCTTCTTTGACATGTGTTTTGGGTCATTGTCTTGCTGAAATGTGATGTTGGTGTATGCATGCTGAAGCTGCAAATCTGAGATTGTTTTTAAAAGCTTGTCATTCAAGATATCAATGTATTGGTCTGAATTCATTGAACCCAGCACCAAGCACATACCTCCCACCCCTTCCCACATCATACAGCCCCAGATCATGATGGAGCTGCTGCTGAACTTGACCATCGGCCTGACAAGCTTGCTGTTGAAGCTGGCATTCTTAATCCAACAGAACTGCTTACCATCTGGTCCAAAGAAGTTGATCTTTGTCTCATCAGACCATACCACATTCTTCCAATCCTCAACAGTCATGTCCTTGTGCTCATTAGCAAATTTGAAATGGGCTTTGCAATGTCTCTTGAGTAGCTGCAGTTTTTTCACTAACCTTTGTGCTTTGTAACAACAGTAATGAAGTGATTTTCTTACTGTGGTTGGGCATGCTTTGATTTGAAATGTCTCCTGCAGTGCATGACATGCTTTCCTGACCATGGAGGTTGAATTGAGCTTGAAATAGTGATCCAGGAAGCAAACATGACAAGGCTGGAGTTTTCTTGGCTGGCCCCCCTTTGACTTTGGAACATCAGCAGAGGTGCTTTTGCTGATGTGATTCACAGTAGACTTGCTCATACTGAGTTGCTCAGCAACTGAACAGATAGACTCCCCATTTTGGATGTGAAAGAGTGCCAATCAGTGCCTCTCTGGGGTGGTTTTTGGCATGATGGTATAGATATGATGGTGTCAGACTGGAAGCACCACTGGATCACTCACAGTCATCTGATTGAGCTGAAACTTTCCATGTCACTACTTTTGATGTATATGAAGGCTCCCACCAAGTTACATTGCAAGTTTCATTGTAGTCAACAGCCCACAAGGTCAGGAATGGAGTGGTGTTGCTATTTGGGAGCATGCTCCATAAACTGTTCCACAATAATAATAATAAAATTGGCTCTTCTTCATAGCACAATTTTTTTTAGTCAATGTCAATATCAATTACACAGTCTTGGAGAGAAGAAGCAGGGCTTTCAGATGATATCAGACAGTGTGGCAATACAACTTATAGCTATTGAGCATTAGAGTGATGTATGGTGACATGTAAAATTATGGGACAGTTTATGCATGTGCTGTATATACAACTATGAGGTGCATGCCGAATGTGGGAGTATCCTCCTTCATGAGCTAGCTTGACAACGAGCTGGGCTACGTTGCACCCGATCTCCAGACAAAACTGTCTCATCTGATCGCCGATTGCGTTTATGTCAGCATGCATCATCATATCGGATCGCTTCCTTCGGCATGTACTGACCGTCGGCTGCTCCAAACTGTTGACACACCATCGCACGCTTTCCGACCATTGTTCTCACGGTTGCTTGAGTTTAAGTTTGGGTGATGCCAATAGATAGAAAGCTAGCCTCGGTGTTCCGCTTAGCATCAGTCAGCAGGCAACCTTGTGAATATCCTTGCTCTCAAATGGAGGACGTGCGCGGAAAGCTGCTGGATGCTTTGCTATATAACCAGGCCATTCCGATGGGCGGCGGCCCTTTCCAGCCGAGAAAGGTGCAGCGGTGTGGCAACTCCTTGCGATCCCAAACGACTGCTTTCTAGGCTTCACGTTTCAGGCAAAACACCACCGAGAGAAGATAAGCGAGCTGCTTTCGAATATTCCCGTCGGTTGGCATAATTGATATCGGCATTTAGGTCTCTGCAAGAGCGTCTTCTCCACCATGGTCGAACACAGTATAAGCGTTCATGCCGACAGAGACGGTAGCTTTCGTCGTCAAGTCTCGTCCTTCCGCAACACCATCTCCAAGAACGGTCCTCACCAGCCCGAAAAGGGACGCTACATGCTCTATGTCAGTCTTGTTTGTCCCTGGGCTTGTCGAACCCTGCACACGCGAGCCCTCAAGCAACTCGAGGACATCATCGACGTAGCCATCGTCCACTACACTCTCACTCCCAACGGCTGGCCTTTTGACCGCACTGACTCGGTCGAAACCGGTGATGCGCTCTACAACTTTGAAAACACGAAACAACTTTACCTCAAAGCCGACCCCAACTACACGGCACGCTATACGGTCCCCATTCTCTGGGACAAGAAGCTAGGCACGATCGTCAACAATGAGTCTTCGGAGATCATTCGTATTCTCTACACTGCTTTCGATGATCTCCTTCCTGGAGGCAGTCCAGCCAGAGGCAAGACGTATTATCCCACCGACAACGCGGACGCGGTAAAAAAGATCGATGAGCTGAACGAATGGATCTACAACGACATCAACAATGGCGTTTACAAGACTGGATTCGCTACCACTCAAGAGGTGTACGACAAGGAAGTGGACAATCTCTTTGCTGCGCTGGACAGGCTCGAGAAGCTGCTGTCGGATGGGAGGGAGTATCTGGTACCTGAAATTGGTCCAAGTGAAGCCGATATCAGGCTGTATCCTACCTTGGTCAGGTTCGACGTCGCTTACCACACGCTGTTCAGATGTAATGTGAAGATGATCAGGCACGAATATCCATACATTCACGGATACCTGAGGAGACTGTACTGGAAGGAAGAAGCGTTTAAGAAGTGGACCAACTTTGATCACATCAAGAAGGGATATTCTCGTGTTGGAGGCAATAAGGGTATCGAACCCAGGGGACCGTTGCCTCATGTGGTGCCATTGGACAGTTGAAGTGGTTTCAGAGGAGGGTTCAGTCAGTCACTTGTCGAATTTATGGTTCCTGATCGTAATGCAATGATGTCTTCCGATCTCCATGCATCTGAGCGAGTGTGGGTAAGATTTTGATTTGATTTGATTTTTTTTGTGTGCCATTGTCTCGGTGAGAAGGTTGATGTGATCCTTGGCCCCGTCAAAGTCTATCGAGGGACTCGCGAAGATGCGCATGAACAGCCGACCATATGGAGACGTTGGCTCCTTCTGACAGAGGGATGCTGTGTATGTCGTTGCTTTTCAACACAAGTTGCCGGTCAAGTCGGGTTACAACATAGGAGACCGGTGAATTTCTCTTCTCCTTGGCGTTCCTGACAGTGGTCCACCATGGCTCTGTGTTGAATATCAGTGGACGAAAAGAAATCTGAACAACGACCAAGATCAAGTGAGGCAAACATAGCGTCATCGACAGAATCAGCGTGAACCAAAGGTGAATGAGTCAAGGTGAAAGCAAGCACAGGTCTCGCTTCGGCTATCAGCATTGCAGCGGATTACTGAAAAAATGTGTTCGCATCCTTTGACAAGGTGCAGAGCGCCGAGTTTGCTATGGAAACAGAACAATGGTCCCTTGAAATTCTCACGAGCCTGACTGTGGGCAAATTGTGATACTCTTAAGAAGCAAGTGGTGATCTGGATTCAGAACTGTCTCTGCACAAACGCAAGCAACCGATCGCGACTGGCTTGTGACAGCACGACACATGGGCTGGTAAGATAGAGAGACAATGAATAGCCGGTTGTTGATGATCAACTTCGAGGGCTCGATGTGAGGAGGATGCAGGATTCTGCATGCTTTCCTTGTGGACTTTGGTGATCAGACAGGAACAGGCTGCACAAAAAGGGAAGCCAAGTGGGTTTATGGTTTCGATCTTTGTTCAGACAAGCTGCTATCCCAAGTCTGACTTGAGCTTCTCTCCTTGTGCTTGCGAGGAGCTAGGATCACTCACGAAGCAAGCTGGTCATAATGATAATATCCTTGAGTGGCTGCTATGGCGATAAGCTAAGCAGAACATGGTACAGTGAAGAAGCCAGCCAGCTGTCCACTGCTACTTGGCACGATGAGGACGACATTGCACACTCACACGCATCACACACACACAGACCACGCACATGTGCAGCCTAAGTTAAAAGCGACAACACGCCAGAACAAAAGAACAAAAGAAACCCTTTTTGTGAAAAACAAAAACAAAAACAAAAACAAAAACAAAAACAAAAACAAAAACAAAAAAAAAAGATAATAATGAAGATAATGATAATAATAAGAATAATAATAAAAATAAAAATAATACCTTATTAATAATTCCGCCCTGTGACCTTTTTTCTGCTGTGTCTGCCTGTCACGACGCTCTTGTGGTTAGGCTCGGATGAGCCGCTAAGAGCAAGCGGGCTCTTTAGCTTGAAAAAGAAAGAACTGTCCAACACCCATTTTGCCTGTTGTGTGTCTGTGTGTTACAAATTGTGGAATTCCAAAACTGCTCTCTTTTTTGAACTCTCTTCTCCCGTTCTTCAGCCGTGCCTGCCCCGCACACCGAATGGAATACCAGAACACTTCGGATACCAAACTGCTCTTGCTGCTGCTGCTGCTGACTGGCTGGCTGTGTGTCAGTCTCCCCTGTTTTTGCATCACGTGATCGTCAAGAAGACGTGCGCGTCTGGGCTGCAACTCAACAATCGACTCGACTACGCTTCTCCTCTCCTCTCTTCACTACATCATCTTGACCAAAAGCCAGGCGTACTATCAGCAGCCTCCCTTGCCGCTCGTTTCTGTGCTCGACCGCCTGTTACGGCGGGCTGGGAGCCTCCTTGTCGAGCTTCGAGGGCCTCACGGGTCTTTGTCTGCAATCCAATTAGGGTTTTTTTTTTTTTTTTCTTTTTTTTTTTTTTTCCTTTTTCTTTCCTTTTTCTTTCCTTTTTCTTTCCTTTTTCTTTCCTTTTTCTTTCCTTTTTCTTTCTTTTTTCGTGTTATGTATATTCAATTTCGGTCATGTTTCGTGCGATTGAGTCCAGGCGGGATAGCAGTCGCGCTTTGCCTGTTCTCCGTCGCCTCGAGCGAAATGTGAAAAGTTGCACATCACTTCATGCTCCAAAGCCCGTTCCAAAGCACACTCTCACTCAAACAGGCGCAGTTCTCTTCTTAGTTCTTAGTCAACTTTGATTGACTTTGCCACCATCTCCGACTCCATCTCATTCTCCCTTCTCTACATTTCCCCTTTGAATCTTCTTACACCAAGGCCCTTCTAACTTGCGCAAGTCTCTCATCACCACGTTCCTTTCTAGTCGAGCTCCTTCACGAGGCACGCACGCCTTTCCTTTCAACTATCACCCCCTCATTCTTGCCGGTCAAGACTCACAACGACGACCTGAACATGGACACCCAGGCTCTCTGATGTCCTTGCTCCCTCCTCTAGCGACCCTTCACACAGCACGCATACCGTTTCTTCCATCGACCAGAGAGCAGGGTAGCTCTCACCCTTTCCATCCCCGTCATGTCCTCATCGAGCCCGGCCTATGCGCCTGCCAATCTCTCTTCTCGCCACACAACATCATCTCGCAATCACCACCACCATTTCGCTCAGCAATCCTTCCTACCTTCTACCGACTCGGCCAACAGCCTCGACAGCCCCTTCTCCTCCCGTTTTGAACGCGTTGCTTCTTCCGATATCGATCCTTTCGAAACCTCTGCGGATCCAGCCATGTCTTCCTCCGCTTCTTCTTCATCAGCTCATGCTGATTCCAGCTTTGTTCCTGGCTATGCAGACAACGACGACGAGTTCGAGGTCCAGCCCGAGGAACATGTCGTTGCACTTCACGATTTCAACTCCAACAATGCCACCTGTCTCTCCTTTCAGGCTGGTCAAGTGATCAAAGTCTACAACCGTGACCCCTCCGGATGGTGGGACGGTGAGCTGGATGGTCAGCGAGGCTGGTTCCCAAGCAATTATGTTGATCAAGAAGCTGCCTATGTCTCGGATGGTGGACAAGATGACAGCTACTCGTACGATGACAGCCACCAACTTCGTAACTCGACTACCAGCCAAAACTCTTCCGACTTTGATCACATTGCCGACTACCGATCCTTAGGCTCAACAGCGGTGCAGCGTGAGCGTTACTTTTCTGCAAACGCATCCCGCTCCTCAACACCCACATCGACTCCTCTTGCCGATCGTGGAGATGCCGGTGTCCTCGACCCTATCTTGCACGCCATCTCCTTACTTCGCAACGCAGTTCGTGCTCATCGAGTCGCCCACTTCCAGCCATCCACCGCTTGCGTCATCTCCTCCGTCCGATCTGTTCTCTCTGCCACTGACTGTCTCACTCGCGAGTCCGCCGTGCTCAAAGCGAACCCGCATCTCGCTCGCGAGCGCAAGGCCATCCTCTCCGAACTCAGCAAGCTTGTCGCTCAAGCTCGCAGAGCTTCAGCTCCCATGGTCGATCAAACAGAGAGGCCTCAAGAGATGGATGCTATGCTCAACCTCGCAGAGCAGGTTCTTTCCAATGTGCGCAACTTTCTTGCCGTCGCAGTCGACTGCGGCCTGCCCGTGCCTGATCGTCGCCCCTCCGTCGACGATGATATTTACGCCAATCGTGCACCAGCGCCTGCCGACAACCGCACTCGTTCCATCCTGAGTCGCAAAGAGCTCGACAAGACGCCAACGCCTGATTATCCCAACGCGCGTGATTCGGTGACCAGAGGCCACTCATCTCACCCTTCCGCCCGCCATCTCCAGTACAACCACAACCACACTGCTTCACAGCATGTCGCCCACGGTCAAGCCGACACCCGACGTCCCTACCCTCAGCGTCGTCATCCCTCAGATGGCTCTGTCGAATCGTCCGACGGCGGTGCACAAGCGATTGCTCAAGCACGCTCTCAGACCCAGCGCCCGCTCGATGGTCGCGCCGGTGTCGTCGCAGCTGCTGCTGTGCCCATTCACCTCGGTATGGCTCACTCACGATCCGACTCGAGCTCCGAGTCGCCAGAATCAGCTTCGGGTCACGACACAGGCTCCCTTCACGGATCAACAGGTTCAGGCGATGACCAAGGTCCGTCCAGCCCTGTCGAGCGCACTCCCTACGAGGTCATGCATCGCCTCAGCGTCACCAACGATCAGCTTCTCTCCGTCATTGCTGCCTTCATCGGTCACGTTCACACCCACACCTCCGAGAGTCACGCTTCCAGCTATGCCTACCTCATTGACATGACACGCGAGGCTGTCGTTGGCGTTCGCAACCTCTTGCTCGTAGTCGAGGCCGTCAACAACAACGCCTTGCTTCAGCAGCTCAGACCACGTGAGACATCGATCCTCTGGGAGACTCGCGAGAACTTGTACGAAGCCACAACTCAGCTCGTCACAGCAGCACGTGTCGTCACTTCAGCCCCCTCTGCTTCCATCTCAGCAGGCTCAGCTGTTGAAGCCGAAGACAAGTCGCGCTTGCTTCAGGCTGCTACGAATGTATTGCGGACTGGTGGCGAGTGTGTCGGAGCCGTGCGCCTCTGCATCGACCGACTCGAGCCCACTTTCACCATTGCACTGCCAGAGCCTTCACGTGCTCGACGCCCGCGTGCATCTTCGCAATTGCCTTCTTCCATGGGGCCGCATCACGATGGACAGCAGCACGACGACGACGACAACGGCAGTCACGAGTTCCCTAGCGGCGATGATGATGGCGATGCGGTTGCACCACGAGATTTGCGCAGGAAGAACACTCTTTCTTTCCTCGGCCGCAAAGCAACCAGCTTGTCCTGCCTCAAGCAAAAGTATGAACGCGGTGACGAACATCACAATGAATTCGACGACATTAACGAGGACGAGCAGAGCGGCGAAGAGCTCAGCAATGCACCGTCGCAGCATGCTCCGCGTCCTCCTCACGTTGCAATGGACAGGACTTCTTCTCTTCAGGATGCTGCCGCTGCTTCTGCTCACTCCCGAAACACAGATGGTAGGATGAGCGATCCCAAGAAGGCATCGTTGCCCAGCAGCAGAGCATCTGGCATGGGCTCGTCGGCTGAGCAGCTTTCGCAAGATGCAGCAAAGACGTCTCGCTCGACGATCCAGTCCATTCGATCCGAAGTCACAGGCGAGACCTCGGCGCGTCCCTCACTCGAGCTGCAACAGCAACAGCAACAGCAACAGCAACAGCAACAGCAACAGCAACAGCAACAGCAACAGCAACAGCAACAGAAAGCTGCAGGTGCACCCCAAGATGCGCACACTACCGCACAGTCGGCTGCCAAGCAGTTGGCTGGCGGAGTTGTCGACCGACAATCGATGTACAGGGAACAAAGGGGTCCCGCCATCTCGATCGAGTCACGCTACATGGCGCCCGACTATGACCCTTCAGATGTGGTCTGCAATTCTGAAGGTCAGGTGACAGGAGCGACGCTCAAGGCGCTTGTGGAGAAGATGACGCCGCACGACACTATGATCGAGCCAACTTTCTCGACCGCCTTCTTTTTGTGCTTCCGCATGTTCACCTCGCCACAGGAGCTGCTCGATACTTTGGTCGCCCGCTTCGAAATGAAGCCGCCCGCTGATCTTCCCATGAGCGAAGCGGACATGACGAGATGGAACGACAAGAAGCTGGTGCCGGTGCGCCTACGCGTGCTCAACCTGCTCAAGAGCTGGCTCGAGAACCACTGGAACCCTTCGACGGACCGCATCATCCTGCAGCAGCTCATCCCCTTAGCTGAGCGATGGGCTAAAGCAGGCGCCATTGCTGGACCAGCGCATCGACTCGCCGAGTTGGCACGCAAGCGCCTCGATGGCGCGACCCAGAAGACCACCGTCTTGGTGGGCAACAACCGTGGACCAGGCAGTTTGCAGCGTGTCATCTCGTCAGAGCGCATCAAGGGCGGCCTTGGTCTTGCAATGACCGACGCTTCGCAGATGTACGCGCCTTCAGCGTTCTCAAAAGGTGGCGCGCTGCCACCGACCTCGATCGTGTCCAAGACGCTTTTTACCAACCTGCGCAACGAGAACTTTGACCGTATCAACATTCTCGACTTTGACCCACTCGAACTTGCTCGTCAACTGACCATCCTCGACAGCAAGCTTTATTGCGCCATCCAGCCTGAAGAGCTTCTCGGCTCCAAGTTCACTAAGGAAACCAAAGCAGTTGGTGTCAGCGATGATGTGCACGTAAAGAGCATGTCTGCCATGTCTACGAGGATCACTGGGTGGATCAGCGAGTGCATCTTGAACGAAGTCGACGCAAGAAAGCGCACACAACTGCTCAAGTTCTTCATCAAGCTGGGCGACCGTTGCGAACAGCTCAACAATTTCCACACGCTCATGGCGATCCAGTGTGCGCTCAACTCTTCGACGATCGCCCGACTGAAAAAGACTTGGGACGGCTTGCCGACCAAGTATCGCGGTATGATGGACCGGCAGCGTCGTGCTGTGGAGCACACACGCAATTATGCCGGCTATCGAGCCAGGCTGAGGAACACCACGCCTCCTGCCATTCCGTTCTTGGGTCTCTTCCTGACAGACTTGACCTTCTGTCATGAGGGTAATGCACCGACAAGAGCCTGCCCTTCGAATCCGGAAAAGAAGCTGCTGAACTTTGACAAGTACATCAAGATCAGCCGCATTGTTGGCGAGGTGCAGCGGTTCCAAGTGCCTTACAACTTGGTGGAAGTACCAGAGATGCAAAAATTCCTCAAAGGTGCATTGGATGACGTGCAAGGCGCAGGAGGCGGAAGGGGGGCTGATGATCTGTACAGACGCAGTTTGTTGCTCGAGCCCAGGGCAGGTAGTAAGGTGAATGGAGGAGGAAGCGTTTCAATGACCGGTAGTCTGGCAATGCGTCAGAGTAGTAGCGGTACACCAGCTTCGGAGAATGGAAAGCTGGGCGGACTGGATATCTTTAATTGGCGTACCGACAAGGCTTGAAAAGAAGAAGTTGTAGCGCAAAGGACTATAGAATTGTTACAGTATTGTCGTTGGCGAAGATGATGGTGACACAAGTGTCTGTTTCTCTAATCTTGATACCATTCCTTCGAATGCGCAGACCATCCTGTGTGAGAAAGTGTGAAGATATGTCTTTGCTCCTCCGCCGAGTTGAGATTACGTTGCGGCTACAGGCAAGGCCTTCCTATTGAAGTGGCTTTCCCGGATTTGAGGGAACAACTCTCAAACATGTAGTCGAGGAACAGAGCGTCCGGCTGAACAAGACCCTGTCGGTCAATTAGGTCGGCACACCTGACCAACACCGAGAAGGATCAGGGTCGCGGGCCAATCCAAGACCGCAAGTTGTGGCAGCAACATCCCACTGTGCCCTCTATGCCGGGTAGCGCTGCGGAAAGATCCGTCACTTGAACTCGAGACGTTAGTGCTGGAGATTGATTGATTCTCCCTCTCCCGCACATCGACTCGAAGGAACACAAGCAACGAGCAAGCTACATGTACAAGATGCTCAGAGAAAGTCTTAAGCTTGACAAGGAGTCAGCAAGCCCTGTGGAGAACGATGTCAACCAAGCATTATTGATACGCAAGCTATAAGCTATAAATATGGGATGCTGGCGACGATGGAGGTGTTGTGCCAGTCAATTTCATGAAGAAAGAGAGAGAGAGAGAGAGGAAGAAGGTAGAATTGAACACACTTCGATACAAAACGTGCAGCCCGATTGTATTCGACGCTGCTCGAACTAAATAGAATTGAACGCTGAGAATGAGCTTCAAATTGCGATCGCTAGAATCCGAATATCTCCACCTTTTGTTTGCGACACAGCGCCAATGCCGGACTTGAGTTGAAGGAAAAAAGGCTTGGAAATTCAGGTTTTCATCCCGTCGTCATTTTGCTGGCTCGTCCGTTTTGTCTTTCCCTCTTGCCTGGCTCGCCGATTGGAAATTCTTCTCAACACAGACACAGACAGAACAGCAAGACACACACCCTTGGCCCTGCAGTCGTGAGTAGAAAGGCTCAGTGTTGCACAGGTGAGCGCAACAGCAGCAAGCCTGCTTGATCTGTGTGTGTCACTTGCTCATCCTTCTCCACACCCCTTCTTTCTTTACTACATCCCCCTTCTCCTTTCTTTTCGTCGAAAACCATTCTTTTGTTCGACAGGATATCTTTTGGAGACCTCTACACGATTCGAACACGTCCTTAACGCGCATCACTGGAACTAGGTCGTCATCGCAATGCTTGCTCGATCTGTCGCTCAGAATGGCGCTCGCGCCGCCAGGAGCCTTGCTCTCCGAACTGGCTCCGTTCGCATGGTCACACCCGCCGTCGCTCGACGGACTCTCGTCACTTCGGCCGCTCAGAGGTCGTTCGTCATTGGCACCCAAAAGCTTTCTGCCCAGAGGTAAGTACAGTCACTCATCATGCAAGGCATTCAAACATGGCGACTGACTCTCTCATCCTGTCTCTGCCCCTTTTGGATGTGCTTTTGCTTCGCACTCAATTCTATATTGCTTCTGCTTCGACTCTGCTTTCTGCATCGCAACCATCGTAGGAGCTTCTCGACTTCATCGAGCCACAAGGAAATCGTCAAGGTGCCTCAGATGGCCGAGTCCATCACTGAAGGTACCTTGAAACAGTGGAACAAGAAGGTCGGCGACTTTGTCAATGCCGATGAGGAAGTTGCCACAATCGAGACCGACAAGATTGACGTCTCGGTCAACGCTCCCCAGTCTGGTACCATCACCGAAGTCTTTGCCAACGAGGAGGACACTGTCGAGGTCGGCAAGGACCTCTTCAAGCTTGAGCCTGGTGAGGCTCCCTCTGGCGGCGCCAGTTCCGGCGACAAGCAGTCGGAAAAGAAAGAGGAGAAGAAGGAGGAGAAGCCCAAGCAGGGGAAGAAGCCCAAGCAGGAGGAGAAGCCCAAGCAGGAGGAGAAGCCCAAGGCAGACGAGAACCAGCAGCCCGCTAAGAAGAGCAGCAGCAGCGGCGACAAGAAGCCTGCACCTTCTGCTGACCCTGAGGCACGTCCTTCGCCCGCCAACTCGACACCTCCTCCCTCGAAGCCCTCTACATCTTCGTCTTCATCCAAGTCTTCCTCCTCGTCTTCATCCTCTTCGTCATCCTCTTCGTCGACAAAACCCGCCGCTGGCAGCCGAGAGGAGAACCGTGTCAAGATGTCGCGCATGCGTCTCCGGATCGCTGAGCGCTTGAAGCAGTCGCAGAACACCGCTGCTTCGCTTACTACTTTCAACGAGATCGACATGTCCAGCCTCATGGCCTTCCGTGCACGACACAAAGACCGCATCCTGAAGGAGAAGGGTGTCAAGCTCGGTTTCATGTCGGCCTTCGCAAAGGCTTCCGCTATGGCTCTCAAGGACGTCCCTGCCGCCAACGCCAGCATTGAGGGCGCTGGTCTCGGAGACACCATCGTCTACCGCGACTTTGTCGACCTTTCGGTCGCCGTCTCGACGGACAAGGGTCTCGTTACACCTGTCGTGCGAAACCTTGAGACCATGTCGCTGATCGAAATCGAACAGGCTATCGCTGACCTCGGCAAAAAGGCGCGTGACAACAAATTGACGCTTGAAGACATGACCGGTGGTACTTTTACCATCAGCAACGGTGGTGTTTTCGGATCGCTGTTCGGTACTCCCATCTTGAACTTGCCCGGTTCGGCTATTCTGGGTATGCACGCTGTTAAGGAGAAGGCTTGGGTCGTCAACGGCAAGGTCGAGATCCGACCGATCATGGTTGTCGCTCTCACTTACGACCACCGACTGCTTGACGGTCGTGAGGCCGTTACGTTCTTGGTCAAGCTGAAGCAGTACATCGAGGACATGCCCAGTATGCTTCTCTAATTCATGCATCTCAAGATTGCGGCTAAGAAGCGCCTGTAGAAGCTCTGTCTTTCATTGTTAGTTAACTCGTATAACCATCATGCTCTGTTCCGCTTGCCTTCTCGTTGTACGAAGGGCTGTTTGTGCCAAGGCTGTGAGTCGGATCTGATCGGTCAGGGTCGATACAAGATCGGGGGTTGAGCATCAGCTTGATCTCTATGTCAACTCGTGACCCTGGAAGCTAGTTGAGAGCGACGGAAAGAAGAGATGGCGGGGCTGAGTGCATGTGCTTTTGGCTATGCGCTGCCGTGTCTAGCTGAGCCTGGAAGTCAGATGCCGAGTCAGCTCTGTACAACAGGACCATCATGGACCCAATCTGAATCGGATACAAAAGGGTATTTGTTCCGCTGATCAGCACAGATCTTCTGCTTGGTCTCAAACCCTATATGAGTAAGTTGTTGTCGATCTCGAGAGTGAGAATGAGCATAGAAGGGAGATGAGATTTTCGAAGGCGATGTCCTTGCCCGAACCCGAGACGGTGGGCCAGCTCGCCAAAGTAGGGCGTCGAGTCAAGATCTGCCAGAACTGTGTGTGCGGTGGTGTACTCGTGATTACAGTATTCTTGATCCCAGCCTGACTCACACGGCCGCACAGATGAGGATCAGTTAGACGATACAGAAACCGATACAGAAGCCATGTTAGATTTCGGATCAGTAAGGTGGCTTGCTGGCTCAAAGGCTCCCAGTCAACCAGCTGAGTGTTGAGCTGATAAAAAACGTTCGACACCGAAGGCGGTTTCTACTGCAATCCAGACCTCTCGATCACATACCAAAGGCAGTTCTCTACTGCGGTCCAGACCCCAACCATTCTGACACTAATGTGCGGCTGTCGACATTACGAAGACTTGTGTCAAGACAGACACCATCATACTATACACTAGTATAGCTTCAGCAAGTCTTTTAGGACCTTGATTGTGCTGCACTACCACTGGACGGAGTGTTCACGGCGGTTAGTCGGAACTCGTTCGAAAGCAACCTTACAATCTGTTCCAGCGAAACCGATCATAAGGCATTGCATTGAGCTTCAGACTCTTAATCAGTTGAAGGGTAATAGTTGAAAATACGCTGGAATAACCAATAGGGGGTATCAATTTTTGTGTGTTTTTAGAAACACGTGTTTCTCGATTTTGACCTGTTTTTATTTCGCACAAAAACCTTATGTAAGCTCACCCAAAATTGTAAAAAAAACACGCCTCGGGACCCGGTAAAGTGGACTCACTTTTTCATCACTCTCCAAAATGAAGTGCGGATGCACGGATGCGCATCCGCTTGCTTCACTTCATCACACTGGTGCCTCATGACATTCATTACTGTGCATCATGTCCTTCATACCTATGCATTATGTCCTTCATTACTGTGTGACAAATGAAGTGCGGATGCGCAACCGCTTGCTTGCTTGCTTGCTTGCTTGCTTGCTTCCCTCCTTCATTACTGACAATGAATTTGATAACATACGCGTTAAATCGAACCAAATGTCACCTTTGTTGCAAATGTGTTTTTTGGATGCTCCAAAATGGGGTGTTCAAAAACGGGGAAATGTCGTCAAAATTGAGAAACACGTGTTTCTAAAAACACTCGAAAATTGATACCCCCTTGAAATTCAGTTTTCTGCGGCAAGTCGAGTTAGGGGCGTGCCTGACTTTAACGTGCCTGACTTGAACTAGTTGGGCGTAGGACGTGGGCTTGTCACACGCCCGCTTTGCTCTTCCGCCTGCAAGAACGCCAGCGTCAACGCCAGCAACGAACCGTGACCCTGATTTTGTGCGACAGCACTGCATGCTCACATACACCACATATAGCTGTACACACACAAAATATTGACCTTCTCCACTTGACTTGGCTCACAGGAGTTCGGCTGAGAGATGGCTGAGAGACGGCTGAGAGACGAGCAAAGTCACAACTTGGCACAAGCTTCTTGACGTGGTGGCTTTGGTGGCTTTGGTGTGTCTGTGGGATACTGCAGCTCATTGCAGTCAGAGCGTTTGCTTTCAGGTACACTATCAACCATCCTTTTCAGCTTGAGGAGCAAGTCAGGAGGAGGAGCTACTTTGTCTCATCTTGACCAGTTCGGACCTTTTTGGATGGTCCACAGCTGAAACCTCTTGCCGACAATCCTCGCAAATTTGCTGCTCCGTCCTCTCCTCCTCCTTCTCTCGTCTTTGCTACCCAAGTCAGATCGTGGACGCCCGCGACGAGTCAGGCCCGCATCCGCCGTTGTTTGCTCTTTCTTCTCCGTTGACTACATCACCATCCGCTCGCAACCCTACCTGTTTTCGGCATCGTAGAGTGGCGCTTCCATCCCTCTGGTCTCCACTCCGACATTCAGCCCCACCCTCGCTTCGTTTGCTCCTTGCTTGCCGGCTATATGCATCAACAAAAAGCCATGTTCTGAAGCAGTAGTGGCGTAGCTACCCCCATTGTCTCGCCAGTCGTCATTCATCATGCCATTTACCGACTTGCTCAGGCGGTCGTCGCCTCAAGTGGCGCACGATGCTTCATCTTCCGCTGCTTCATCTTCCGCTGCTTCAACATCTTACCATGGATCAGCATTCACTGCCACACCATCCTCCGCCAAGCTTCGCCGATCAGCTTCGACTCGCGAGCGATTCACCTTTGGCCGTTCGTCGAAACCACGCACTTCCTTAGACACAGACAGCAACATGCTTTACCCCCTCCGCCAACTTCAGCCAAGCCCCAGCCACAACCGAGGATCGCATTACTCCACCGCTGACGATCACAGCATAGGCGAAGCGCCATTACATGCTCCATCGTCCAATCGACCTTCTGCTGCACCATTACCCTCCATCTCGCCACTTCCCCACACGCCTTCGTTGCCAAGTGCAGCAGCCTCTTCAGCTCATATCGGCACAAGCCCTCAAATCAGTCAGTACGATAGGCTGTTCTGTTTGTCTGCCCCATCTGCTTCCCTATCTCCTCGCTGTCCGACCGTTGCTCTTGTCAACTCACCACCTTCGCGACCACCTTTGGCATCATCGTCATCGACACGGTCCATCACTTCCTCGTCAGCTCATCAACCTACCCAGTCGACGACGACAAGTCAAGTAGCTCACGAGCCGATCTCGGCAGCTGCGACTACCTCAGCTTCTTTACTCAGGAGAAAAAGCACCAAGTCGCGATCTCCTTTCCCACCAGCCTCTGCGTCAACAGGAACAAACAGCACACCTCGAGACAGATCCAACATGGGCACCTCCATCTTCCGAAGGCCAAGTCTGCGTCGTCGCAACGGCTCAAGCGATTCAACCGCTACGCAGTCCGAAAAGATCCTGCAGCAAATGGCATCCATAAAACCGGCTGTCGAATCTACGGCTATCTCGGGCAACTCACTTCCTCCGATAGTATTTCCGAGCATTGATGTCGTTCCTGTGAACACTTTCGAGCCGATCAGACCCACCAGCTCTTCGACAGGTCGATTTGCAAAGTTTTTCGGACGGCGGAAGTCTGTTTCCAGCCCTGTCAATGTCTTGCCAAAACACGATCTCGACGTCAATCCTCTACCTCCGCTCAGAGATGCCACCTTTGCCGGGAACAGCAAGTCGCCTCTACTGGCTGTCATATCGGCTGGTTGGCAGGTCTCAACGCAAGAAAGTAAAGCCTTGAAGGCTGATGCTGATCTGGACAGGACAATATCTTCTCGCACCGTCGGGCCTAGCTCAGCGATGGATCAAACCAACTCACTCGAGAGTCGGCGAGGTAGCAGCCATGCCAACGCACTGTCAAGGACAAACGATAGCGAGAGCAGTAAAGTCTCGGTCTTTACCTTCCCTTCTCGTCCTTCGCTCTCTAACGACTCTGCTGCTAAGAAGGAGCATTTGGCACTCGAGCCTGCACGCGCGAGACAGGCGAAGCACTCGACAAGCCGCTCGTTTCCCTTGACCTCGATGCCCATGTCGGGCCCAATTCCCATTTCGACCTCTCCTGATCCAACTGACCCTTCGGCAACAACGAATATCCAGCGTCGTCCCAGTCAGATTGGCCGAAGCCTCAGCCATCGCAAGAGCAGCAAGAGTCTTTCCATGATTGGATCCATGTTCGCTAGCAGCTCGCATTCCTTCTCTGCCGCTGACTCGCCAGCGCTTCCGCAATCAGCTTCCACGCTCAGCCAGATGTATCCTGCCTACAGGCGTCATAAGAGCGTAGCAGCAGCGGCCAATTCATCGACCTCGAATCATTCACGAAGACCTTCCTTACGTGCACGACTCAAGTTTGGCCGCAACAACACCGACGCAAGTTCCCAAAGGCCTTCCACACCTGAGATCGAGAGCTGGAAACAGAGAGCCACTCAACCGATCGGCATCGCCTCTCCCGCCCAAAACGAGCGAATGTCACTAGCCAGCATGGATGGATCCTCCCGACCCAAGCCTGCTGAGATGCCCGTCAAGATTGTCCGCTCCAAGAGCCAGATCCGACGCAAGCCTGCTCCCGAGGTCAAGCAGGAAGAGATTGATAGCAGTTCAAGCACTCCTGTCTACGGTCGGACGTTCAGGGCGCTCGAGGTCGACCATGACGCGGGTTCACCGTTGGGCGCAAGGCTCGCTTCTTCGCCAGCAACTCAACCTGCAGTGTTGGCCGACTCGATCTCGGATGTCGAGACAAGCCCCAATCTTGTCGCTCGTCGAATCGTGCCTGCTCTGAGCAATGTTGCACATCAGCAAACAAAGCGCGAGCAGCGAGAAGAGAGAGCTGTGCAGGGTCTGGGCCTTCTCGGGGCGTCAACTGCCCCTGCGGACGCTGCTGATACTTCGGTGCCGAGCATCAACATCCGTCCCAGTACACCTACCACAGCTGCCGACAAGCCTAACTCGAGCATCAATGCCGCACACCAGAACCTTGCTCCTAGTGCCTTGCCTTCTTTGAAGGGCAAGCGTCTGTCATCCGGCGTGCACAGCATCGCAGACACGTCTCTGTCAGTTGAACGTCCATGGTCACTCATCAGCGCTGGTGAAGCCGATACCCCATTGCTCAAGCTTCGAAAGCTGGTCGTCAACACCGACGCTTCCGACGATGACAGCCGCGACGGTGATGATGCCACCGAAAGACTCTTCTTCCGCCCTCTCAACAGTGCGGGCAGACCACTCGACGACGAGGACGGCGCTCCGATCGAGAGGATGACGGACAGCTCTGACAAGAGGGAGGCGGCAGCCAAGAGCGACTCAGAACAGCTCCGGTCGACCTCGCAAGCTACTACACGCTCCGACACTAAGCACGAGTTCGCATCCATCCACTCTTCGGGCTCAAGCACCATTCGTGCGGCACGTGGCGTTGCAGCCCAGCCCAGTATCTCAGGGTTGTCTGCTGCATCGGGGGCATTGTCTGATGCCTCGCAGGCTTTCACCATTCGCATGCGCAACGTGCCTGCTAGCTTGGTTGCTGAAAGCGATGCAAACTCAGTCGGGCTCCTCCCTGCCCAGAGCCCAGCTGCTTCTCAACACTCATTCCGCACTCGACAGCACCGATGGGAGGGCTCGACAGGGCCCAACTTCAGTCAAACGACCGTCCAACAGGCCAAGAGAGCGAGCACCGCCTCTCGCATGACAGCACGAAGCAGTGACCTCTGGAGCGAGAGTCGTCAGTCCGAGGATGCCTTGAGCGCGCTCGGAGCTGAAGTTGGTCAGGCAAGACGTGCAGAGGTCGTTGCGCTCGGCAAAGGCAGAGTCAAGGACTGGGTTGGTAACGGTGGTGCCGATCGATCGCTGCCGATGGCTGAGGCTCCTACACTTTCTCGCAGCAACACGCTGCGAAAGAAGTCGCAGGCCAATGTTGTAGCTGCCGACTTTAACTATGTTCGCGTCGATGAAAGAGAGGCACAGCGTCAGAAAGCTCTCAACGAAGATCTCAGTCGAAGGCTGCAATTGTTGTCTGATGCCCAAGTTGGGTCGGCTGCAGCAGAGAGGGAGATTCGCGACATGCCCGATGAAGAGTCTCTAGCTGCGTCGCCTTGCAATCACCAAGGCTGCTCTGCACCCGTGCCGCGCTTTGTCAGACTGTCTGCTTTTCATGATAGGAAGCTGCTTGGTGACGTGGACCAAACGACTTCGCAGAACGCAGCCCCAGTAACAGTAACAAGCCAACTGGCGGAAGAGGCCATCCGTCTCGGCCGTGCACCATCGAAGCGCGTCCGCCGGAATGTCAGCGAGACAAAGAGCGCCGGTGAAGCGGTCATGGTGATGCGCGATGCGGCCAATATGCTTCCTCGTTCTTCAGGCAACTCGAGCGTTGTAGCTGCTCGTCATCGACGTCGTTCTACTTCGCTGTCGTCCCGGAAAGCTTGGAGCTCGATGGATATGATGAACCCGACTTTGGTCCCTGCTTTGCCCACGGCTCCTCTGCTTCACGTGCAGGATGGGCAGCCTGCTAGTGACAAGGGTGCAGACGTTGAGACTGCTCACGTCGAGGATGGCAGCAAGCAGCACTCAAAGCAACGGTCATTCGCGACATCGGAAGAAGCAGCGCAGGCCAAGCGCCAGGAGCTGTTGGAGCGGGAAAAGCGCCTTGCCGAAAAGGAAGCCAGACGTCAACTGCAGTTTCAGGAGAAGTACGCCAAAAAGAAGCAGAGTGATCCATTGCTTGCTGCACGATTGGCGCTTGCAGGTCTCCAAACGCCCATGGAAGCTGTGCCAAAGCTTCAGGGCGAGAGCTTGGCCCAGTCAGCTGCTGCTTCGAGATCGTCCTTGTGTGGCGGTAGTGGCTTGCAAGTGCCCGAGATTGCGGGTGGGCGAGCTTCAGCAACTGGTTCTCCGGCCTTGCTTTCGGTCATAGCCTCGCCCATGGGTCGCAAGAACTCGAACGCAGGCAGCGTCATGTCTTTCCACACTGCGATGGACGTGGCAACTGGCGACAGTCAGGCTGTGTCTGGCTCGAGTTCTGCGAAGGTCTTGCAGACTGAGCCGACGGCAGAGACATCCTTAAGCTCTAAGGGCAGTGCGGAGGTGCGACCAGACACATCATACAGCATTGCCTCCTCGCTCGCGGTTGACTTTGAGTTTCCCGTCCCACCTCAACGGATGAAGGAGCAAGTCTCGAAAGACGGCACGCTTCTCAGTCGGGCCGGTCTGCAGGAATCGTCTGCGCAACAAAAGGGGCGAGAAGGTCGACACTACCTACCCAAATCAGCCAAGGCACCACTCACACCTCATCGCGATTCGTCTCTGCGTCATCGCAACGACCACAGATCGAAGCACAACTCGCACGTATCGACTCTTTTTCCTAACGGAGTTGAGATGGCAGCGTCAGAAACGATGCCCAAGCTGGCAGCAGTGTCACCATTAGACTCGGTGAAGCAATCTGGCGCACTGCGCAGATCGAGGTCGGTTGGATACAACAATCGCGATTTGCGTTGGTTGACACGCGAGGAGATGATGCTAGACACCACGGCTCATGCTAGCCCGCAAGAGTGGGACAACAGGGCCACTTGGGCGAACGGCTTGGGTATTCAGATGGATGAGACAGTCAGTGGCGGGAGGAAATATTCGAAGGCTAGTGGCGTGCCCCGCCATGTTATCCTCGCGTAAAGATGGAGCGAATCGGGCTCATAGCTGTAACTGTATCATTCTTTGTATTCTATGCTGGATCATTACGAATGTTGAAAGGCGCGATAAGAGGCAAGTTGGTTCCTCCTTGTTGGTCTCAGAATCAAAATCACGACTCGCGTACGTGTCTTGCTAACTTACTTCAAAATCGAATCGATCTGAGGCACTTGAACCCCTCGCCTAGCTTTTCCCACGCCGGACAACAAAGAAATGAAATTCTCGAAAAGGAAAAAAGAAATGATTTGAAAGTTATGCACCGGTTGTAGCTCAAGACTTTGAAATAGGAGCAAGTGGCATTAGAAACTAAATAGAAATTGGAGCTTATTTCCAAAAGCATGCCGGTCAGTCGCTTTGTGCAGGGGCAATATTTGACTGTCAGCGACACGTAAAACACTGACTGAAAAGGTGCCCAGGGTTCCTTGTTTTCTCAGACACTCACATTCTGTGCGAGAGGATTCGCTCGCTTGGTTGCTCACTTTTGCTGCTTGATTGACTCGCTAAGTAACCACAAGGATCTGCGACATTCAGAGCCTCGCCATCCGAAGCTACCGAACGTCGTCTCAAATCGCTGCTGCAACTCTCTGCAAGCGCGTGTTGCTGCGCGTGTTGCTGCGCGTGCGTGTCTGTCTGCATTCCTTACGCTTCCCTCTCCTTACGCTTCCCTCTCCTTATGCCTCCTTATGCCTCGCTCTCCTCATTTCTCTCACCGTTCCCACTTTTTCTTTTTTTTTTTTTTTTGGCACCAGCTCCCCTTTCTTCCTCGCTTTGCCCTCCTCCGTCTCCTCTCTCATCGCCAACCATCCCCTTCCCCCAAAGGCGGCGACACCATCATCGTCTCCTCTTCTTTCTCGTATCCTATTCGGCTCCCCATTCGGCTCCCCATTCGGTTTCTCGTTCTGCATTCACTTTTGCTTAGCTTCATCTCAAGCTCGGTCTTCACCTTCCGTCATCGCTCAGCCTCACTTGCACCCACCAACGCCACGACCGACAAAACTAACAACCACTTCATAACAGTCACCGCGATCGACCTTTGGAACCCACTCAGCTCGTCCTTAATAATAGCCATACAACGCAGGCCCCCTCTGTGAGGTTAAGCTCTGCTTCGTCTGCCACCGTCCCTCTTTTGCTGGTCAAAACAGCAAGACATTTGCCCTTCGCACCACCACCATTGACCATCCTTGCTGCTGGCAGCATCGAGACCATTTTAGATCCTCTACAACGGCAACAACTCTCACCTCGTCACTGCTCTTGCAATCAACATCACTTCGGCATTGGCGCTTCAAGGCAAGACAGCAGTTGTTCTTCACACCCTTCCATCACGGCTGGCATCTCATTGCAACCACTTTACAACGACGATATGTCATCATCATCCACAACCCATATGGCATCTGATCGCGGCGAGCAGATTCTCTCGGCCAAAAAGAAACTCCAGAAGTATCGCGCAAAGCAAGCTCTCATGGCTCAGAAGCGCTCCTCGACATCCTCCTCTCACGCTCGGTCCGATTCTGGTGCTCGTTCCACAGATGTTCCTCCCACGACAGCCGTAGCGGCTGCTCTCTCCAATCAGATTGTCTCCCAGGCGCCCACCTCTTCTGTGCCTACTGCCAGTGCATCCACATCACACGCTCGTACTGCATCGCGATCCGCTCACGGCCGTGGCCACTCTCGTGCTGGCTCCATTTCCATCACACCTGATCCATTGTTCGCGCAAGCGCAGGCAATCGCAACTAGCCCTGCCCCAACATCATCCTCCGTGCCTGGACGACCCGCTTCGATCGTCGCCCCAAATGCTAGTCGCATGCATTCTCGCACACACTCCCGCAACTTCTCCCTCTCGCGTCCCGTCAGCATTTCCATGCTCGGCGCAAAGAAGAAAGAGCCCGTCGTGCTCGCCATCGAGCATCGTGCCGAGACCGACATCCCCAAAGTTTCAAACGCACAACGTCGATCGCAGCAGTTCCTCGACTCTTCCATCCTTTTCGGTGGGTCCGTATCTTCGAGTCTGCGACCGAGCTCGGCCTCTACCGACCGCTTTAGCAACCTCAGCCCCGTCTCTCCAGCGCTCTTTGATCGACCTGCATCCCAGAGCATGGCTGCCCCTTCCCCCTCAGCCTCAGCAGCAAATCTGCCTCACTCTCGCCGTCTCAGCCGACATGCCCGCACTCCTAGCGTTGCCACCAAACGTGAGAGCATGGAGATCATGGGCGGTGTTGGTGCCGCCGGCCTTGGACTCGACATGACCAACACACCTACTTCTTTGCAGTCTATGGGATCATCACGACGTCACAGCTCGCGCATGTCGAATCTGCCATCGGCTAGCTTGCTCTTCGCCTCTGCTGTACCAAGCTCTGCCAATAGCAATAGCAACCACGATGCCCGGGTGAGCGGCCAGCAATGGGATTGGAGGAAAGCCATTGCTGATGCTGCTGAGGAAGCCGAGGAGGGTGCACAGGGGCGTCTCTCTGCACTTGACAAACTCGAAGGTCGCACATCACCTGCGCGTTCAACCCCGGCTGACTGCGCGCCCTCTTCTGCAGGTGCCGGCTCGCGTGCTTCTCGACGTCTCTCTGGACACACGAGGACGGAAAGCATTCAGATCCCCAACTTGGAAGAGATCCACCAAAACGAGATCAACGAGCAAAGAGCCAGCTGGAATGCTGCTCACACTCTTGATGCTGCCCTCAATGGCTCTGGCCCTGTGCCCAACTCTGCTCCGGTTACTTCCAGCCGCCGTGAGAGCTGGGGCCGCAGTCTCGTTCCTCCTTCCACCTCATCGTTTCTTTCTGCCGGCTTCTCTTCCCCTGCACTGCCCAGTGCTTACCATTCGAGCCCAGGACGACCGGACTCGATCATTCTCCGCCCCGAATCACCACAACCCGAGGGACTCGGCACCCTTATGGAGGAGGAAGAGGAGGAAGATGCTTCATCGCCCACTCGCGAGCGTCAGAGCATGGACATGCTCGCTGATGGCAGCCTCACAGCAGAGCAAGAGGCTACTAAGCAACGCCGCCAGATGGAGGATGAAATTGTCAAGCGCAATCGACGAGCTAGTCTGGCACCAAAGCCCCTCAAGCTAAAGTCTCGTCCGCCTAGTCTCTACTTGACGCCATCCCAGCGTACCGGGCTTGTCAGCAGTCCTTCGATGCCTAACTCCAACCTTTCGCCACTTATGCCACCGTCTATCTCGGACGAGGTCACACCGAAGGCTTCGACTGCGGCTTTGCCTGAGGCTGCCAAGGGGGAGGAGACAACAGTTGGCATGCCTAGTCGCAGCACTACCTGTCCGGACTTGTCGACGATTGCTGCTGCCGAAGTTGAGCAGAAACCCGCTGTTGCCGAAGTGGAGGCCCAAGGTACGCAGGATGCCACGAGCTTCGAGGCTACAGAGGTCAACGCCGAAGAGAAGGCCAACGAAGAGCAGCGACAGCTGATGGAGCTGCAGCAGCAGATCCTTCGTGCTCACCGCAACTCGGTCATCGCTCCCATCCCCACACCTGTTTCCGCCGACTCCACTTCTGCTTCCTCAGGATCAGCCTCTTCCCGCCAAGGCATGCGCACTTTGCGTCTCGGCAGCCAAGCCAACCTCACCTCTATCATGGAGGCTGGTTCTGCCGGCAATTCGACCACTTCCGGCAGCGTCAATGGCTCCATCACCACCACTCCCGCCCAGCGCCGTCGCAGTCTCATCATGGGACCTCTCTCTGCAGCTCCCCTTGGAGGTTCCTCTTCGCGTGACAGTGACCATGTCAACGCTTTCGGCGGCTCGTCTGCTTCCAGCCGCGCTGCACGCCGCTCATCGATCATCTACAAGCCATCTACAGCCTCAGTTCCCGAGGCCCCATCGTCGCCTTCCGCATCTGACTCCATCGCTAGCCTTGGCGGTGTTCCGCTTGCTGTGCACGACGAGCTCAAGGCTAAGGCCAACTGCGATGCAGCGCTGCTCGAGTCCACCAAGAGGCAAGTCGAGATGCTCGAGCGTGAGCTTGCCAACGAGACCGAGCGCAGTGCTCGAGAAAAGGCCGAACTCGAACAATGGAACTTAGACAAGGAGGAACATCTCTTTGATAGAGCTCAGCGAGCAGAGACTGCAGCTCGTCAAGCCCAGGACGCGTTGGACGCCATGCGTGCCGAGTTTGAACAGACGAAGGAGCAATTGGAGGATCTGCAAGCTGAACGAGAGGTGTTGAAAGATGATATCGAGGGTTGGCGCTCGAGGTGTCAGGATCTGGAGAAGACTTTGCGAACAGAGAAGTTCAAGTCGGATGAGAACAGGAAACTTCGCGCTGCAGCAAGATTGCGTATCAAGCAACTTACCGATGCTATCGAGCAAGGAGCTGGTGCTGTGCCTACTGACGAGCTTAAAGTCCTCTCTGCGTTGGAGCAGTCCCAACTTGATTTGACTCACATGTTGAGGAGTCCCAACCTTGGTGCTGTCAGCCCTAGTCTAGGCGTTGCTTCCTCGCCCAGCCTTGGACACGAGGACGCTCCGCCGCAGATTACGCAGTTGCTCGCGCAAATGCGTCAGCAGATCTTCAATCTTGCAGGTAGCCTTGAGCACGAGCGCAAGCAACATGTTCACGCCAAGGAGGAGATCGCGCGTTTGCAGCAGCAGCAGCCGTCAACACAGCCTCCTAGCGAGGAAAAAGCTTCCGCAGCCACGGAGGAGCACAGCTTCGACTTTGCTGATGAGAGTCGAGACGATGGCGGAATGTCAAACTCGGAATCATTCAGCAGCAGCGTTCGACGATCCAGCGGTCTTCTCGGTAAAAACAAACGCCACGTCTTTGCCTACGATTCGTCCATGGGCAGCTTTGGTCAATCTCTGAGCAGTGCTTCGCTTTCGATGCACACCGACGAAACGGCGCACACCGACAACGATTCGGACATGTCTGATTCTTTCTTCACCAAGCTGCCTTCCTCTTCGGAAAGTGAGCTGGTGGGGTTGGGAATGGGCAGCCTTCAAACTCTGGACGAGATCGAGGAAGTCTCTGAGGTGTCCGAGAGCGTCGAAGGTAGCAACGGTACCCTGGGTGCGAGTGTAGACAAAGGAGCTGCCAGTCCAGCCTGGATCGATGTCGAAGCGAGTGCAGTCAGGCCTAGCTTGGATATGAGCGAGTCGAGCTTCGGTGCGACGTATCAGGATGCTGAAAATGCTCCCCCTACTCCCGATCTCTTCCGATCTAACGAGACCGCAACTCGGTTCGCCAACCCGAATGAGTACAGCAATCAACCCTCGTCTTGCTCCAGTTCCGGCTCAGGCGATAGTCACGCGACTCCCGCCACTCCACCTTTGCAACACGACGAGCGTACTCCTCCATCCCCCCGACCAGAGTTCCACCGCGAATGGAGCTTCGAATGGGGTAAATCTCGTTCTCGTAAGCTGCACAGCACCTCAGAAGGCGTAGAAGACTTCTTCGGGATCCTGAACGAAGACGTTCTCCCGCCTCTGAGCAACTCGGAAGAGCCTTTGGACTTGCCTCCCATCATTGTGCAGGGCAATGGCCTTCTACCAACCGCAAAGATCAACAAAGACGGCAAGCCCATCAGCACCACCACTTCTGGTATGAGGGCTGCTAGTATCTTTGGTGGCAAACGACCACCTGTTGCACGCTCAGCATATCTTCGAGAGAGTTTCGATTCCACTCACCCTAACTCACAATCTTCTGTACTGCAAGACGCGTTCAGAGGACACGAATCGCAGCTGTCCTCTGCGTCAAGTCTCGCTGCCATTGGTTCGAGGGCGCTGAGCAGGATGAGTCTGCAGGGAATCACAGGCGCATTCTCGGGCCTGAGCGGGTACTTGACAAGTCAGCACGGTGCCGCTTCAGTCGCAGTAGGAGCTGCTAAGATGTGCAACACTACCTCATCGAGCGCGTTAGAAGGTGGCTTGAATTGGGCTACTCAACGACACACATTTGAAGAAGAGGATGAGGAAAAAGCCTTCGACGTCAGGAAGGCTAGGTTTGACATCGAAGGTGGAATGATGGTGAACTACGGTAGCAAGCAGCAGCTCTCGTGGAGCTCCGGATCTTCTTCGCTAAAGCAGCAGGTGGGGCAGCAGGCTGGTCTGACAAGGAGGTATGTTAAGAAAGCTTCTGTTCAGCCACCCAAAGCTACTCCTATTTGGTTGTTGGATTTCACTAAGAGTACTCAGGTTGCGAATACGCCTGTGTTCACTCTCTGATTCACTGCTTCAGAGCATATTTGTTAAGGAAACACGGTCGGGTCAAGATAGCAAGCGGTAAATCGTTGGCATTTCATGAGGACTAAGCACAGTAATGTCAAGAGTATATATGCTTCTATGGTCAGTATGTGAAGGTGAGGTGCCACGTATGACTACATGCTTGTTAAATGTGTTGAGAAACACAGCAGGTTCGAGATAGCGAGCAGTCAAAATCGTTACTTTGTAAGGCTAAGTACAAGGTGATAGTGTGAACTATATATGCTTCTACGTCGGTCTGTGTGTGTGAATGGATGACGTAGCATGTGTGACTGCATGCTGTTGTTGAGTGGGATGGAGAGTGTTGGTGGGTGGCGTTGTGGCATTGAGCATTGGTGGGAGTTGACAGGTGGCGACGTGGAGCGAGGTTTGTGGGAAAACAGTAAATGACTAAGCAGTCATGCATTTTTACTCTCCTCCTTGCAAACTGAGTGGTGTGAGGAGTCGAGGTTGGCCATGCCAAGGCATTGTTGAGTGCACTTAAGCAAATGTTGTGATACCAGTTTCATGAGGTAGTCTGCAATGTTGTCATCTGTTTGAATGTATTGCATTGCTATGTTGCCCTCTAATACATGGTGTCAGATGAGGTGGTACTTCATGTCAATATGCTTTAGCTTTGAGTGAAGAGCTTGGTCCTTTGCAACCTGAATACATCCTGTATTGTCTGTGAGGATTACCAGTGTGTGGTCCCCAAAGCCGAGGCCCCACAGCAGATGTCAGTGGAAGAGGGCTTCACATGCTGCTGCCAAGCTAGCAACATACTTGGCTTCAACTGCTGAGTTTGACATGCACTTCTGAACATGTGAATTCCAGGTCACCAAACTGCCAAAAACCTTAACCACCAAGCCAGATGTGCTCCACCAGTTGGTATTGGGGTCAGAGGCCCAATTTGCATCTGTGTATGCTGTGATAACCAGTTTGTCTTTCCCTTTGCCTCCAAGCTGCAAGACCTTGTCACATGTCTGGTTGAGGTACTTCATGACTCAGAGGGCCACTTGCATCACACTCTCAGTCAGCTTGGACATGTGTCATGCAAGGGTGTTGACAGCGAAGGAGAGATCCAGTCAAATGGTGGTTGCTACCCATAACAGTTTGCCAACAAGGATTGGATATTGAGTCTTGATGTCACCATCACTCATGTAGTCTGGAGGTGGTGTTGGGGGGTGTGAACCATGGGCATCCATGTTTTCTCTTGCAGTGGGATCCACTCTTCGATGATCTCTCTGATGTATCCTCATTGGTCTAAATTGATAGTCCTTTTTGCTCGATCCCAGGTGATCTTTATCTTGAGGAATTCTGTTGCTGGACTGTTGTCTGTGATTTTCCACTTCCTGACAATCACCTCTTTGATGTGGTCAACCTGGGTCTTGTGCAGGGAGATAATGAGCATATCATTGATGTATACTGCAATGATTGCTTGTGTTTCACCTGAGCCCCACAAGTACATGCATGGGACATTGGGGAGTGGGAAGAAGCCCAGGCATCGTAGATGTGTGTCCAGCGCTTGATTCCATTCTCTACCTGATTGCTTGAGTCCATATGTCAGGGGTCACGCACCTGAAACCTGAGATCTGTGGTAGTATTGATACTATTACTGATTCTGTCGAGTTATGCAACAGTGCTAATGGTATTTCGATTCCTAGTGGAATATGTGACAGAGCCATCTCTGTCACTTTTCTCATTGGAATCTGTAGTTGTATTGACATTATGACAGATTTTGACTGACCACTGTGGACACTCCATCCAGAGGTAGCTTGGCACAATCAAAATACAATATGACTCTAAGTGAACTTGATGTTGACACCAATGGTCTGGTGTGAGTATGGATTGATGACGTCGACACGAGTGCCCAGTGTGTCAACTAACGCTTGAGGTGATCCCCGGACCACAGTGGATGACTGCCTTTGGTTCTATCATTATCTGGACTGCAGGTTTACTATGAACCACCTTTGGATGTCAGTGTGCAGTGATACAACACATGCACTACATTGAGAAGCAATCTATTGATTACTACTTGCTGACTGGAACTAATGTATACTTGTGCTTAAAGTGATAATTAGTTTATATGGTGTAGAGTGGATGGGGATCCACTCAACCATTTGTGATGAGAAGGTATGGTTTTATACCTCTTTGCAGTGTCGCCAGCAACACTGCTCCTGCTCTCTCTCCAGAGAGTACCTTCTGTGTTGAGTACTATACAGGAGTCTTCAATAAGACTCCTCCTCCTCCTTGAACTATCCTGTCTGTCCTTCCCAAGCTGTGTTGACTCCATTGGCACTGCTCCTCCTCCTCATGTCCTTCTCACCAGTGTCCTTTACACTGCTCTCCTTCCTTTGACCAGCAACAGTCCTCCTTTACCCTTATCATGTGTGCCCCTGAGTGGTAACCAATCACATGCTGCTGAGCTTGGTCCCCCTCTTGGCAAGGCTTGGTCCTTGGCCTGGTGGAGCTTGGTCCCCTCTGCATGTGAGCTTAGCCCCAGCCTGCATGCAAATCATTGTATGGATGTCCTTGTCACTGATCTCCATGGAATCTGCCATATGATCATGCTTGCTACAGATTTTGCTGGAAATCATGATAATGACTTTGTTTGTGCAGGATTCGATGAGATCTGTCATAGAACTGTGTCTATTACCAATCTTGCTGAATTCTTCTGGAAATCCCATGATCTGCCCGATTCCTCAATTCCTGCACTACCTTCATATGAACTTCGGTCTTCCTTCGCCCTGCACACCCAGGCCTATGACATTACCCCCCTCTTAAGAGCCAAGCTCCATTGAGGCAGGTACTGGGTCATGTCTCCCTTCACCATCACCCATCCATGTCCTCGCCACCCAACCCAGTGCACAACATGGTCTCTTCACGATATCGAACCTGCTCGCAGGATGCCATGAGTGCACCCTCCTCCGAAGGGACTACAGCTCCTACAAGGCATCATCAGATTGTGGTCTGGCTTCATCATTGTGAGGTGTCAGCTTCTGCAGCCAAACCTCCCCCTCCTCCTCCAGCAGCCGATCCTCTGGCTTCTCCGGTGGCTCGGTCACCACTGGAACCTCTTTTCCTGGGGATGGATGATGACATCGTCGTCCCCAGTCCCCTTCCCTCCCCCTTCTTGGCCAGCGCTGCCCAATCTCTCATGGGGAATGATTATTCTCTGGCTTCTCCGGAGATTGACCTGTATGAAGTGGACACAAGGTGTCCTGCTGTGGAGATGATGACCCCGGAGCATCAGGCAGTGTGGGAGGCTGAGCTGGCTCGCTCTGCCACTCCTCCTCCTATGGCCGACAAGGTCATCGATGCAGTCCTGGATGCCCATCATCCAAGTACACCTGTCTACCAGCTGGAGGTCCAGCCTTTGACCCCTCCTCCTTGCTGGGTAGAGCATCAGACTCCTCCCCTTCCCCCTCCCAATCAACACCTTCCGACAAATGGAGAGATCGCCAGATGGTCTGAGAGGTTCTTTGTGGCCGAGCTCATGGCTTGGTTTGCTGACCAGTACTTTCCTTTGGACTGGGATGTGCCCGCTGGCTCCTTGCCCAAGTGTTGTCTACACCAGTTGGTCATGCTGTGCCTCACCAAGGGTTGCATGCCCTGGCCCAGTTGGCAGTGCCATTGGTGCTTCAACCTGGGTACTCCATAAGTTCCTTTTCCTCATGCTCTTCCTATTCTTCCAATGCTAACACTTCTTCTGCCTTTCTCAGTTGTTTTGCTTCCACCTTCACCAACCCTTTTGGTGAGTGCAACAGGATTCCTCGTGCCTGTACCCATTGCTATCTAGCTGGCTTGGGACATTGCAAGCATACCATTCCTGCTCATCTGGGCATGGAGTACCCTGGTGATGGGACTCCCAGCATGCAGCAGTGGGGCTTGCATCAGGCTGAGTGAGCTCACCTGACTGTGGCTGATGGCGATGGCCCTGGTCTTGTTTGTTCCCAGGAATGGACAATTGACCCAGTCATGACTCAAGACTGGGTGACAGTGATGTGCATGGTTTGGCACCTCTGCTGCCAAGACTTGGTAAGTTCACTCCTTTGTATGCTCCAGTCCTATGTTGAGCATCATGACCATTTGTTTTCTGAGCACCAACCCCATGAGTCCATGATGGAATCTGGTGGTCCTCCAGACCCCATCAACTCATGGGTGGAGCCTACAGTCGACGAGCAGTGGACTTGTGTGGCCCTTGCCACTCCTTCCATCCCCTCTGGCTATGTCAACATATAGTGACATAGTTGCAATCCAAATGTAGTTTCCCTGTGATCACTCTGAGCCTGTGTCCTGACCCTTGTGTGATCACCCATGACCTCATTCCATTGGTTACTTCATTCCTGGTTTCTCATGTGAGTGAGAAAGGCCACCACTTCCTGCTTTTGTTGTGAAAAACTGTCATACTGCTACTTCAACTACTGATTTCCGTGAAATCTGTAATAGTGCCTCTACTCTCACAGATTTCGCTCAAATCTGTTCCAACTCCCTCCTTACCACTTTCACCTCTTCCTCATGTTTGTTAGTTTCATCCCCCCACCAAAACCTCATACTCCCAGATGAGGTCAGGACAGTTGAGATTTGACAATGGTTCCCAAGAGGTGGCCTCCTCTGGGTACCCACTCCATAGCACTTAGTATTCAGCCATCCTGTTGTTTGAACACTTGCCTACAATTGCTTCGACTTCAAAGTCAAGGTCTTCATCTGGTAGCAATGGTACAATTGGCTGGGTCAATCATTGTGGAATGGAGCTGTTCTTTGCTGGTTCAAGCAAAGATACATGAAACACATTGTGAACTCTGAGGTTCACTGGCAATGTGATTCTATAGGCTCATTGGCCCACCCTTTCTTGTACTGGATAAGGTCCTGCAAACCTGGTGTCCAGCTTTGGTGTGGGTCGCCTGGTCTTCCAATTCTTGCAATTGATGTAGACCATGTTGCCAACCTTGAATTCTATGTCCTTGTGTCTCCAGTTATAATGATTGACTGTACAATGCTGTGCTTCCCTGATCTGTTCTTGAAGGTACTTGCAGTGCTCTTTACCATCAAGCAAGTACTCAGAACATTTGGGATCATTTACTCCTAGGTGTTGAGGAATGTCAGGATGGGCTTTCAGGTTTCATCCATAACATGCAAAGAATGGTGAGACACCAATGCTATTGTGGACTGTGTTGTTGTACACAAATGCTGCAGTGTCAAGCAGGTTGGCCCAGTCATTCTGTTCATAGTTGCAATACATATGTAGGTACTGCTCTACTACTTGGTTGACCCTTTCTGTTTGCCCATCCAATTGAGGGTGATAAGCTGTGCTGAGCAAATGTTTCATACCCATTTGATCAGCAAATGCTTTCCATGCTCCTGAGATAAACTGCCTGCCTCAGTCCAAGACCATGTGATCTGGATAACCAAAGTGTCTAACCAGATAACACCATAGTAGCACAGCAGTCTGTTTCACTGTGACCATTTTGTATGTAGGAGCCAGAATAGCAAACTTGGTCAATCTGTCAACAATGACCAGGATTGAGTCATACCCCTTCAAGGTTGGTAATCCTTCAATGAAATCCAAGGATATAGAACCCCATGGCCTGTCCAGAGTAGCAAGTGGCTGCAGCAAGCCATATGGGCAATGATGAGGAGCCTTGTATCTGGCACACACATGGCAACTTGCAACATAATCAGCAATCCAGGCTGACATATTTGGCCACCAATAGTGTCATTGGGCCGACTTGATGGTAGCATCTTGTCCCACATGTCCAGCTGTGACACTGTCATGACAGTGGGACATGACCATGAATTGCAGATGTTCTACAGACAATGACCATCCATTGACTTCTTTGGCACTTCACAAATGATGGTCATTGGTCTTCCCTGGCATCATTACCTTGGGGATAACCAAACATCTGCCACTATGCCATAAGTCATCTCTGATCTCGAACGGCTTCCTTAGATGAATCTCCTGAAGCTCAGGATCCAAAGGCTGGAAGATTCTGGCCAGATCTTTGATTCCTTTTGTGGCTATAGACTCCATCATGAGGACAGGAGCCACTAATATGGAATTGTCACCTGAGCATGCAGTTAGAACCGATTCTGCTGAAATCAGTAATATCATGCTTGCTATTACATTTTCAGCTGAAATCTGCTGCAACTCACTTCCTGTCATGATTTCGTTTTTGACTTGTTCAAACACCCAGGAAGGCAATAGTTGCCAAATGTTGTGCTCCTGCTCTTCACTGACTGGCTGCATATCAGCTTGTCTGGTGAGAGCATCGGGTTCGCCACCCTTGTCTCCTGGCTGATATTGTAGCACAAAGTCGAAATCTGCTAACAATACTGCCCATCTTGCTTGTCTGCCAGTGATATGACATTGTGACTTGAAGTACTTGAGTGCTTCATGATCCATGAGAATGACTAACTGACTTGGAAGTCCTGCTAGCATGTGTCGCCACTGAATGAGGCAAGCGACCACTGCTAGGAGCTCCTTGTTGTGGATCTCATAGTTTTTCTCTGCTGATGACATCTTCCTTGAATAAAATGCTACCAGATGCCAACATCCTTTGTGCTCTTGTTTGAGCACTCCAGCAATGGCAAAGTCACTTGCATCTGTTTCCAGCCTTGTAGGAAAGTGGTAATTGAAGTGTCAAAGTACTCTGGCCATTGTGAATGCTTGAATGAGTTTGTGGAAAGCTTGTTGAGCTTCTTCCAGCAACTCAAACTTTTTGAAACATTCAGTCAGTTTCACCAGTGATGTTAGTGGTTTGGCAATTTGAGCAAAGTGAGCAATGAATTGCCTGTAGAAGTTGGCAAAGCCAAGGAATCTTTGAATATCATGGATAGATTCTGGCATTGGCCACTCCTTGACTGTCCATACTTTCTCAGGATCCATCTCTACCCTGGTGGGGTTGATGATGTACCCTAAAAACTCGACCATCATGGTGTGGAACTCACACTTCAACAGTTTAGCAAACAGCCAGTTGTTTCTCAAATGGGTGAGAACTTCAGTGACATGTCATACATGTGCTTCCTCCATGTCACTGAAGATGAGGAAGTCATCCAAGTATACCACAACATATACTCCAATAATGTCTTGGAAGATGATGTTGATGAATGATTGGAAATGAGCTGGTGCATTTGCCAACCCAAATGGCATCACTAGGTACTCATAAAGTCCCAATTGTGTACCAAATGCTGTTTTCCATTCATCTCCTTTCATGATGTGAATGAGGTTGTATGCTGCTTGGAGATCTAGTTTGGAGTAGATGTTTGCCTTTTGGAGCAGGAACAGTTGCTCCTCGATGAGGGGCAACGGTGCCCTGTTCTTGATGGTAATCTCATTGAGTCCCTGATAGTCCCCACAAAGTCTGAGACCTCCATCTTTCTTAGGTACAAAAAGGATGGGTGACCTTGCTGGACTCTTTGACAGTCATATGAACCCCTTTGTGAGGTTCTCATCCAGATACTTCCTCAATTCAGACATTTCCTTAGGCCCTTTGAGATACAATGGGCCTTGAGGCAGTCAACTTCCTTCCATTAATTCAAGGTGGAGATTGTCAGGGGTCTCGCGCCTGAAACCCAGGTCGGTCTGTCGAGATACTCGGTGACTATCAAACTGTGCAACAGCTATTGTCTCGGTATCAGTGACTATCAAGTTGCGCAGTGACAGCAGGTGGCATTCGTTGTATATCCTATTGTAGGTTTCGGCTGACCTCTGTGGACACTCCATTCAGGGGTAGCTCGGCATGATCAATATCAATGCTTCGGTTATGATGACACCAAGGTCTGGTGTGAGTGTTGATGATGATGAGGTTGATGATGTTGGTGGTAAGGTTGGTGAGTGTTGATGATAATGAGGTTGATGGTGTTGGTGATAAGGTTGGTGGCATCAACACAAGTGTCCAGTGTGTTGACTTGATGCTTGAAGTGATCCCTGGACCACAGTGGACTACTGCCTTCGGTTCTATCTTGATCTGGACCACTAACCTGCTATGGGCGCCTTCAGATGTCAGGTAGTGGTGATACAACACACACACTACGATGAGGAGCAACCTTGATAGATTGCTGCTATGCTGACTGAAACTAATATATACTTATGCTGAAGTGATAACTAGTTATGGTGAGTAGAGTGGATGAGGATCCACTCGACCTATGATGATGAGAAAGCATGGTTATATACCTCTTCACAGCATCACCAGCGATGCTGCTCCTGCTCTCTCTCCAGAGAGTACCTTCTTCATCGAGTACTGCTCAGGGGCCTCTCCTGCTTGGCGCCCCTGTGCCTCTTGAGTGGTGTCGACTCCTTTGACACTGCTCCTCCTCCTCATGACCTGGTGTTGACTCCTTTGACACTGCTCCTCCTCCTCATGACCTGCTTGCCAGTGTCCTATGACTCTTGTCTCTCGAGCCCCTGAGTGGTAACCATCTGAGCTTGGTCCTCTTCGTGGCTGTGCCTGCTCCTTGAGCTTGGTCCTCCTCATGGCTGTGCCTGGCTCTCCTCGCATGTGGCTCGGTTCTCCTTTGCATGTGAGTCCATAGGAGTCCATGGTCTCCATGGAGACTGCACTACGACCATGCTCTCTACTGGTATCGACTAGATCTTCGATACCTGTGCTCCTTCCATATGAACCAGTGACCCTCCTGCTTCTTGAGCATCCAGGCCCATGACAGAGATCATGCTTGGTATGCTGGGGAAGCCTGTCTGCTTCCACCTTGTCAAACACATCATGAAGATGTTGGTACAGCTTTGGTATATCCACCACTGTCACCTTCTTCTTGATCTCAACCTCCATCTCTACTCCTTGATCAGCACCAGTAGGAACAAAACCAAAGGCTGGGAGTGATCCAGGTGGTACTTCCAATAGCATGAACCCTATGGGTCTGTCCTCCAAAGCTGCCTGTAGTAAGTGCTTCGCTGAGATGAACTCATTTCCATGCATAGTTGGTCATGCCATTTTCTCGTCATAGGAGCCCGTTACTACAGATTTCATCAAAATCGGTAATAAGCTGTCTCTTATGGCGAGCTCATTGTTTTGCTCGCTTGTTACAGCAGCTTTCATCAAATTCTGTGATAGTTCTGCCACTATGACAGATTTCGTTGATTTTGATTGTAAACCCCCAGTTGCAGCTGCTTCAGGGGGTTGCTTTGGGGGTCATTTTTGGTCTTGGGACTTGAACTCCAGTTGGCCTGTGTCCCATTGGATGGTGGGCTTGAGCCTTCTTAGCTCAGTGAATCCCAAGATAAGGTCATAGTCGGCAGTATCAGCTACTGATACTTTGACTACACCTAAGCTGTGCTTGCCAATAGCTACTTGTACATTTGCAGCACTATTGATAATGAGCTGGTGTCCAGTGACACCATGAATCAATCTTGTTTTTGAGGGTTTTGTGGGTATTTGGTACTTACTGATAAAAGAATCTGAAACTATGGACAAGCCAGCACCAGTGTCAGCAAGTATTCAAGCAGGATGGTCTTGGACTGTTCCTGAAAGCTCTAATACTGCTTTTCCTTCACTGGTGGAGAAACATATTTGACAATCTTGACATATACACAATGATGGCAAAGAGGTTTGTAGAGCCATGCACACCATCAGTGCATTGCCCCACTGTCATTTCCCTCATTGTCATCATCCTGGGGTTCCTCATGATCAGTGTCATTAGGAACTTGGTATTGACTGAAGTCTAGGTCATCAGGGTTGCTCGTTTCAGCACTGCCTGTATGCCCATCCCCTGAGTCAGTGGCCCCTTCTTCAAAGGGGTCCTCTGTGGTTACCATTACTCTTGGGCCTGAAGGTCGTGGGCCCAGAGGATCTGCCTTCTTGCTTGGGCAGTCTCTGGCCCAATGTCCGATGCCTTTACATATATGGCATGTGTTATTGCCTGATGCTGTTGGGCTCCCTTGTTTCAGGCCTGGTATGAACTGATGAGGCAGCAGCTGATTGGTTGGTCTGCTTGGGTTCCCTGCCATTGTTTGTGATGGTGGTTGTGCAGGGTTGCTCTGTACTGGTTGCTGAGCAGGGAATGAACTTTGAATGGGTGGCATTGGCCAGTTTCCCAGGTTTGGTCATGGTGGAGCAGCACTCGGGTGTCTAGCAGAGGACTGCTGTAGCAGTATCCTTTGCCAGTCGATCTCCTCGACCTCTTGATACCATTCCCACCTCTTCACTGGCAGGTTCCATTCAAACTTCTCCTGTAAACTATGCATGAGACTGCCTCTGAACAAATCAATGACTAGTTCATTATCATCTAGATTGACTTGTCCTTCTAGGTCCCTGAAACGCTCCACATGGCATGTGGCCACACCAGGGGCATCACTAGTGAGATGGAGAGCTAACAGTTTGTTATAGGCTTCCATTCTAGCATTCCAGGGATTGAACTGTTCAGACAAATGTTCAGTAAAGTAATGCCAATCATTAAACAATCGTCCCTCACAGGCTCTGTCAATCCAGAGCTTCGAGGTCCACCACTCTCATGTGTTCCCTTCCAATTGAGTGCCCATGTGATTGATCATCCTTGATTGCTCATAAACCTGGTTGAACTTAAACCAAGCTTCAGCTTTGAGAATGAAGATCTCCACGTTGCAGGGATTGAACTTAGGAAAGGGTGTGGCAATTGGCTTTGATCGAGAGAGATCTGCCAATATACTAGTATCCTCCTCTGAGTCTAACCCATATGGGTCCAACCTGACCCTGTTGTACAGGTCCACCCTGGGCTTGATGTACCTTGGCCCAGTGGGTGATGCATACTTTTCATAATTGACATCATCTTGCTCATCTACAGCAGCAAACAAGACTGATTGTCTTGGTCATGATGCTGGTGTAGGAGTCTGAGGGTCTCCTAGCATGGATTCGTCTCCTCCTGCTTGATCTTCCGATGGTGAGAATTTGATCATCTCTTCTCTGCTTAGGTGTGCACGGCGAAGTTGTTCTTCCCATTGGCCTTGTCTGGTGAGTGTCAGGGGTCTCGCGCCTGAAACCCAGGTCAGTCTGTCGAGATACTCGGTGACTATCAAACTGTGCGACAGCTATTGTCTCAGTATCGGTGACTATCAAGTTGTGCAGTGACAGCAGGTGGCGTTCATTGTATATACTATCGTAGGTTTCGGCTGACCTCTGTGGACAGTCCGTTCAGGGGTAGCTTGGCACGATCAATATCAATGCTTCGGTTATGATGACACCAAGGTCTGGTGTGAGTGTTGATGATGATGAGGTTGATGCCATTGGTGATAAGGTTGGTGAGTGTTGATGATAAGGAGGTTGATGGTGTTGGTGATAAGGTTGGTGGTGTCAACACGAGTGTCCAGTGTGTTGACTTGATGCTTAAAGTGACCCCCGGACTGCAGTGGACTACTGCCTTCGGTTCTATCTATATCCAGACCACTAACCTGCTATGGGCGCCTTCAGACATCAGGTAGTGGTGATACAACACACACACTACAATGAGGAGCAACCTTGATAGATTGCTGCTATGCTGACTGTAACTAATGAGTACTTATGTTTCTAAAGTATTGACTAGTTGTATGGTGAGTAGAGTGGATGAGGATCCACTCGACCTATGATGATGAGAAAGCATGGTTATATACCTCTCCTCAGCATCGCCAGCGATGCTGCTCCTGCTCTCTCTCCAGAGAGTACCTTCTTCATCGAGTACTGCTCAGGGGCCTCTCCTGCTTGGCACCCCTGTGCCTCTTGAGCTGTGTCGACTCCTTCAACACTGCTCCTCCTCCTCATGACCTGGTGTCGACTCCTTCGACACTGCTCCTTCTCCTTTGATCAGTGACAGTTCCTTTGGCTCTTGTCTCTCAAGCCCCTGAGTGGTAACCATCTGCATGCTCCTTGAGCTTGGTCCTCTTCGTGGCTGTGCCTGCTCCTTGAGCTTGGTCCTCCTCGTGGCTGTGCTTGGCCCTCCTTTGCATGTGAGTCCATAGGAGTCCATGGTCTCCATGGAGACTGCACTACGACCATGCTCTCTACTGATCTCGACTAGATCTTCGATACCTGTGCTCCTTCCATATGAACCCGTGACCCTCCTGCTTCTTGAGCATCCAGGCCCATGACACTACCCCCCTCTTAAGAGCCGAGCTCCGTCGAGGCATGCTCTGGTCTGGTTCATGCTGACTCCTCCTCCTCCTCCTCCTCAACAACATCGCCAACATCATCCTTCTGTCAGGGGTCTCGCGCCTGAAACCCAGGTCGGTCTGTCGAGATACTCGGTGACTATCGAACTGTGCGACAGCTATTGTCTCGAGATACTCGGTGACTATCAAGTTGTGCAGTGACAGCAGGTGGCGTTTGTTGTATATACTATCGTAGGTTTCGGCTGACCTCTGTGGACACTCCGTTCAGGGGTAGCTCGGCACGATCAATATCAATGTTATGATGACACCAAGGTCTGGTGTGAGTGTTGATGATGATGAGGTTGATGGTGTTGGTGATGAGATTGGTGATGTCGATGATAATGAGGTTGATGGTGTTGGTGATAAGGTTGGTGGCGTCAACACGAGTGTCCAGTGTGTTGACTTGATGCTTGAAGTGATCCCCGGACCGCAGTGGACTACTGCCTTCGGTTCTATCGATATCCGGACCGCTAACCTGCTATGGGCGCCTTCGGACGTCAGGTAGTGGTGATACAACACACACACTACGATGAGGAGCAACCTTGATAGATTGCTGCTATGCTGACTGAAACTAATATATACTTATGCTGAAGTGATAACTAGTTATGGTGAGTAGAGTGGATGAGGATCCACTCGACCTATGATGATGAGAAAGCATGGTTATATACCTCTTCACAGCATCGCCAGCGATGCTGCTCCTGCTCTCTCTCCAGAGAGTACCTTCTTCATCGAGTACTGCTCAGGGGCCTCTCCTGCTTGGCACCCCTGTGCCTCTTGAGTGGTGTCGACTCCTTCGACACTGCTCCTCCTCCTCATGACCTGGTGTCGACTCCTTCGACACTGCTCCTCCTCCTCATGACCTGGTGTCGACTCCTTCGACACTGCTCCTCCTCCTTTGATCATTGACAGTTCCTTTGGCTCTTGTCTCTCGAGCCCCTGAGTGGTAACCATCTGCATGCTCCTTGAGCTTGGTCCTCTTCGTGGCTGTGCCTGCTCCTTGAGCTTGGTCCTCCTCGTGGCTGTGCCTGCTCCTTGAGCTTGGTCCTCCTCGTGGCTGTGCTTGGCCCTGCTTTGCATGTGAGTCCATAGGAGTCCATGGTCTCCATGGAGACTGCACTATGACCATGCTCTCTACTGGTGTCGACTAGGTCTTCGATACCTGTGCTCCTTCCATATGAACCCATGACCCTCCTGCTTCTTGAGCATCCAGGCCCATGACACTACCCCCCTCTTAAGAGCCGAGCTCCGTCGAGGCATGCTCTGGTCTGGTTCATGCTGACTCCTCCTCCTTGACAACATCGCCAACATCATCCTTCCTCCTTCTCTCAACGTCATCCTCCTTCCTCTTCCTCTCTCTACTCCTCCTTTTCTCTCCTCCTCTCTCCACTCTGTCTACTCACTCGTCCCCCCTCCGACACCTCATACTCCTGGATGAGGTCGGGACAGTTGAGGTTCTCTACTGGTTCCCATGAAGCAGCTTCCTCTGAGTACCCTCTCCACAACACCTTGTACTCCGTAGTCCCATTGTGTGAACGCTTGTCGATGAGTGCTTCGACTTCGAAGTCGAGGTCCTCATCTGGAAGTGATGGTATGGTGGGCTGTTCAGCACGTTGAGGAAGAGAACTTGTTCTTGCTGGCTCGAGCATGGAGACATGGAACACATCATGCACCCTAAGGTTTGCTGGCAATGTGATTCGATAAGCTCGGCGTCCTACCCGTTCCTGAACTGGGTAGGGTCCTGCAAACCGGGTGTCTAACTTGGGTGTGGGTCTCCTTGTCTTCCAGTTTCGTCGGTTGATATAGACCATATCACCCACCTTAAACTCGATGTCCTTGTGCTTCCTGTTATACTGGTTTACTGATCTACGTTGTGCCTCTCTGATCTGCTCCTGGAGGTACTTGCAACGCTCCTTTCCATCCATGAGGTACTCGAAGCGACCTGGATCATTGACTCCTAGTCGTTGAGGGATGTCAGGATGAGCTTTGGGGTTCCATCCATAGCATGCAAAGAATGGTGAGACACCAATGCTGTTGTGGACCGTGTTGTTGTATACAAAGGCTGCAGTGTCCAGCAGGTTGGCCCAGTCATTCTGCTCATAGTTGCAGTACATCCTGAGATATTGCTCTATGACCTGATTGACTCTCTCTGTCTGACCATCAGTTTGAGGATGGTAGGCCGTGCTAAGTGAGTGCTTCACACCCATTTGCTCTGCAAATGCCTTCCATGCTCCTGATATGAACTGCCTGCCTCGGTCCGAGACCATGTGATCTGGATATCCGAAGAGTCTAACCATGTGTCCATATAGCAATACTGCAGTCTGTTTGGCTGTGACTGTCTTATGGGTTGGAGCTAGTATGGCAAACTTGGTTAACCTGTCGACAATGACTAGGATAGAATCATAGGTCTTGGAGTCATACTTCTTTGATGGTGGTAGTCCTTCAATGAAGTCGAGGGATATGGAGCCCCAGGGCCTGTCTGGGGTTGCTAGTGGCTGTAGCAAACCATATGGATGATGACGAGGAGCTTTGTACCTAGCACATACAGGACAACTTGCTACATAGTCTGCAATCCAAGCTGTCATGTTTGGCCACCAGTAATGTCGTTGAGCTGCCTTGATGGTAGCATCTCTTCCTACATGTCCAGCAGTGATACCATCATGGCATTGGGTCATCACCATGAATCGCAGATGCTCTACAGAGAGAGACTGTCCATCTACCTCTTTGGCACTCCTTGAGTGTCGGTTGTTGGTCCTCCCTGGCATGATCACCTTGGGGATAACCAACCTTCCTCCACTGTACCATAGGTCATCCTTGAGTTCGAAAGGCTTCTTCCTATGTATCTCCTGTAGCTCTTGGTCTAGAGGCTGGAAGATCTTGACCAGGTCTTTGAGACCTTTTGATGCTATGGACTCCATCGAGATCATGGGGGCCACTAGGAGCGAGGCATGGTCTGCTGTCTCCTTGAACACTCGAGGAGGCAGTAGTTGCCTCACATTGTGATCCTGCTCTTCACCAGCTGGTTGCATGTCTGTCCTTCTGGTGAGAGCATCGGGTTCACCACCTTTGTCTCCTGGTCGATACTGCAATATGAAGTCGAAGTCTGCTAGTAGTATTGCCCATCGAGCTTGTCGACCTGTGATGCGTCTCTGTGACTTGAAGTACTTGAGGGCTTCATGGTCAGTGAGGATGACCAGTTGGTTCGGTAGTCCAGCTAGCATGTGTCGCCACTGAGTGAGGCAGGCGACCACAGCTAGGAGCTCCTTATCATGGATCTCATAGTTCTTCTCGGCAGAAGACATCTTCCTAGAGTAGAAGGCCACTGGATGCCATCGTCCTTCATGCTCCTGCTTGAGCACTCCTGCTATAGCAAAGTCACTTGCATCAGTCTCCAACCTTGTTGGAAGGTGGTAGTCGAAGTGCTGAAGCACTCCTGCTGATGTGAAGGCCTGGATGAGCTTGTGGAAGGCCTGTTGGGCCTCCTCTGGTAGCTCGAACTTCTTGAACCGTTCTATAGGCTTTACCAGTGCTGTCAAGGGCTTGGCTATGCGAGCAAAGTGGGCTATGAACCTTCGATAGAAGTTGGCAAAACCCAGGAACCTCTGGATGTCATGGATTGACTCTGGCATTGGCCACTCCTTGACAGTGCGCACCTTTTCTGGGTCCATCTCTATGCCTGTCGGCTTGATGATGTACCCCAGGAACTCGACTGTCTTGGTGTGGAACTCACACTTCGACAGCTTAGCAAAGAGCCTGTTGCTCCTTAAGCGAGTGAGGACCTCGGTGACATGCTTCACATGTGCTTCTTCAGTGTCACTGAAGATCAGGAAGTCATCTAGGTATACTACCACATATATCCCAATGATGTCTCGGAAGATGTCATTGATGAATGACTGGAAGTGAGCCGGAGCATTGGCTAGGCCAAAGGGCATCACTAGGTACTCATAGAGTCCCAACTGAGTGCCAAAAGCTGTCTTCCATTCATCTCCTTTAGCAATCTGGATGAGGTTGTATGCTGCTCTAAGGTCTAGCTTGGTATAGATCCTTGCCTTCCTGAGTAAGAACAGCTGCTCCTCGATGAGGGGCAATGGTGCCCTGTTCTTGACAGTGATCTCGTTGAGACCTCTGTAGTCCACACAGAGTCTGAGACCTCCATCCTTCTTTGGTACGAAGAGCACTGGTGATCGTGCCGGGCTCTTCGATGGTCTTATGAACCCCTTCTCGAGGTTCTCATCCAAGTATCTCCTCAACTCGGACATCTCCTTGGGTCCCTTAAGGTATAGGGGCCCTTGAGGTGGCTTACCTCCTTCTATCAACTCGAGGTGGAGATCATGCTCGGTATGATGGGGCAGCTTGTCTGCTTCCACCTCATCAAACACATCTCGCAGGTGTTGGTATGGCTTTGGTATGTCTGCAGCCGTCACCACCTTATCTACCTCCACCTCCATCTCGACTCCTTTGTCTGCGCCTGTAGGTACAAAACCAAAGGCCGGGAGTGATGATGGTGGCTCCTCTAACAGCATGAACCCTATGGGTCCATCTTCCAGAGCTGCTCGTAGTATGCGCTCTGCTGAGACAAACTCGTTACCATGAAGGGTTGGTCTCCTCATGGTTAGGTCCCCTGCTCTTGCTGCTTCAGGGGGTCTCCTAGGGGGTTGGTCCTGCTCCTGAGTCTTGAACTCCAGCTGGCCCGTATCCCATTGTATGGTGGGTTTGAGCCTCCGTAGCTCAGTGAACCCCAGGATGAGGTCATAGTCCGCAGTGTCGGCCACTGAAGCTTCGACCACACCCAGATTGTGTGTACCAATAGATACCTGCATGCTCGCAGAACTATTGATGGAGAGTTGGTGCCCGGTGACACCATGGATCGATCTTGTTTTTATGGGTTTTGTGGGTATTTGGTACTTACTAATGAAAGAATCTGAGACTATGGACAAACCAGCACCGGTATCAGCTAGTATCCGAGCAGGATGGTCTTGAACCATTCCAGAGAGCTCCAGTACTGCTTTGCCTCCACTGGTAGAGAAACATACTTGACAATCTTGATATATACAGAGTGATGGCGAGGAGGTTTGTAGAGCAATGCATGCCATCAGTGCATCACCCCACTGACATTTCCCTCATCGTCATCATCATCATGCTCCTCCTCGTGATCAGGGTCCATGGGTTGCTGGTATGAGCTGAGGTCCATGGCCTCGGGGTCACCCATCTCAGTGCTGCCTGTGGGGCCATCTCCTGAGTCGGTGGCCTCCTCGAAGGGGTCTGCTGTGGTGACCATAACCTTTGGTCCCATGGGTCGAGAGCTAAGAGGGTTTACCCTCCTGCTGGGGCAGTCTCTGGCCCAATGGCCGATACCCTTGCATACATGACAGGTGTTGATACCTGATGGAGCAGGGCTTCCTTGCTTCGAGGGTTGGGTGGGATGATGAGGAAGGGGTCGGTTTAGGTTTTGTATAGTTGCTTGTGTAGTTGCTTGTGATGGTGATCGAGCTGGATAAGGTTGAGTGGGTTGTCGGATGGGGATCGAACTTTGATTTGGCCGAGACCCAGTTCTTAGTGGAGGTGACATGGCATTTGGGAGTGAGTGTCTAGCCGAGGACTGCTGTAGTAGCATCCTCTGTCGATCGATCTCCTCAACCTCTCGATACCACTCCCATCTCTTCCCAGGTGGATTCCTCTCAAACTTCTCCTGTATGCTGCGAGTGAGACTTCCTCTGAAGAGATCAATCACTAGCTCGTTGTCATCTAGGTTGACCTGTCCCTCCAAGTCTCTGAACCGCTCTACATGACGTGTGGCGGCACCAGGAGCATCACTTGTGAGTCTGAGAGCCAGCAGCTTGTTGTATGCCTCCATCCTAGCATTGCGTGGGTTGAACTGCTCTGACAGTCGCTCTGTGAAGTAGTGCCAATCATTGAACAACCTTCCTTCTCTAGCTCTATCAATGCGGAGCTTGGAGGTCCACCACTCTCTTGCTGTCCCTTCCAGTTGAGCACCCATGTGATTGATCATCCTAGACTGCTCATACACCTGGTTGAACTTAAACCATGCTTCGGCTTCTAGAATGAAGATCTCCATGTCTCGGGGATTGAACTTTGGAAAGGGGGTGGCAATGGGCTTTGACCGGTTAAGCTCTGCCATGATGCTGGTATCCTCCTCGTGGTCCAGGGGGTAAGGATCCGTCCTAGTCCTGCTGTAGGGGTCCAGCTTAGTCTTGACATATCTTGGCCCAGTAGGTGAAGCATACTTCTCGTAGTTGATGTCCTCCTGCTCATCCAGGTTGAATGAGACTGATCGTCTTGGTCGTGGAGCCGGAGTAGGAGTATGTGGGTCTCCTATCATAGACTCATCTCCTCCTCCTGCTTGGTCTTCCGAGTGAGAGAGGTCCATTGTCTCCTCCCTACCCAGCTGAGCTCGTTGTAGTCGTTCCTCTCGATGACCCTGCCTAGTAAGCTCTAGCTGAGCTTCCAATAGAGTGAGTAGTCTATCGAGCTTATTGTTGAGGTCTGGGTCCGTCATGGTGATCGTGAGGAGCTGCTTGAACGATCCACTCTAATGTCAGGGGTCTCGCGCCTGAAACCCAGGTCGGTCTGTCGAGATACTCGGTGACTATCGAACTGTGCGACAGCTATTGTCTCGAGATACTCGGTGACTATCAAGTTGTGCAGTGACAGCAGGTGGCGTTTGTTGTATATACTATCGTAGGTTTCGGCTGACCTCTGTGGACACTCCGTTCAGGGGTAGCTCGGCACGATCAATATCAATGTTATGATGACACCAAGGTCTGGTGTGAGTGTTGATGATGATGAGGTTGATGGTGTTGGTGATGAGATTGGTGATGTCGATGATAATGAGGTTGATGGTGTTGGTGATAAGGTTGGTGGCGTCAACACGAGTGTCCAGTGTGTTGACTTGATGCTTGAAGTGATCCCCGGACCGCAGTGGACTACTGCCTTCGGTTCTATCGATATCCGGACCGCTAACCTGCTATGGGCGCCTTCGGACGTCAGGTAGTGGTGATACAACACACACACTACGATGAGGAGCAACCTTGATAGATTGCTGCTATGCTGACTGAAACTAATGTATACTTATGCTGAAGTGATAACTAGTTATGGTGAGTAGAGTGGATGAGGATCCACTCGACCTATTGATGAGAAAGCATGGTTATATACCTCTTCTCAGCATCGCCAGCGATGCTGCTCCTGCTCTCTCTCCAGAGAGTACCTTCTTCAACGAGTACTGCTCAGGGGCCTCTCCTGCTTGGCACCCCTGTGCCTCTTGAGCTGTGTCGACTCCTTCGACACTGCTCCTCCTCCTCATGACCTGGTGTCGACTCCTTCGACACTGCTCCTCCTCCTTTGATCATTGACAGTTCCTTTGGCTCTTGTCTCTCGAGCCCCTGAGTGGTAACCATCTGCATGCTCCTTGAGCTTGGTCCTCTTCGTGGCTGTGCCTGCTCCTTGAGCTTGGTCCTCCTCGTGGCTGTGCCTGCTCCTTGAGCTTGGTCCTCCTCGTGGCTGTGCTTGGCCCTGCTTTGCATGTGAGTCCATAGGAGTCCATGGTCTCCATGGAGACTGCACTATGACCATGCTCTCTACTGGTGTCGACTAGGTCTTCGATACCTGTGCTCCTTCCATATGAACCCATGACCCTCCTGCTTCTTGAGCATCCAGGCCCATGACACCTTCCTCCTTCTCTCAACGTCATCCTCCTTCCTCTTCCTCTCTCTACTCCTCCTGTTCTCTACTTTGTCTACTCACTCGTCCCCCCTCTGACACCTCATACTCCTGGATGAGGTCGGGACAGTTGAGGTTCTCTACTGGTTCCCATGAAGCAGCTTCTTCTGAGTACCCTCTCCACAACACCTTGTACTCTGTAGTCCCATTGTGTGAACGCTTGTCGATGAGTGCTTCGACTTCGAAGTCGAGGTCCCCATCTGGAAGTGATGGTATGGTGGGCTGTTCAGCATGTTGAGGAAGAGAACTTGTTCTTGCTGGCTCGAGCATGGAGACATGGAACACATCATGCACCCTAAGGTTTGCTGGCAATGTGATTTGATAAGCTTGGTGTCCTACCTGTTCCTGAACTGGGTAGGGTCCTGCAAACTGGGTATCTAACTTGGGTGTGGGTCTCCGTGTCTTCCAGTTTCGATGGTTGATATAGACCATATCACCCACCTTAAACTCGATGTCCTTGTGCTTCCTGTTATACTGGTCTACTGATCTACATTGTGCCTCTCTGATCTGCTCCTGGAGGTACTTGCAACGCTCCTTTCCATCCATGAGGTACTCGAAGCGACCTGGATCATTGACTCCTAGTCGTTGAGGGATGTCAGGATGAGCTTTGGGGTTCCATCCATAGCATGCAAAGAATGGTGAGACACCAATGCTGTTGTGGACCATGTTGTTGTATACAAAGGCTGCAGTGTCCAGCAGGTTGGCCCAGTCATTCTGCTCATAGTTGCAGTACATCCTGAGGTATTGCTCTATGACCTGATTGACCCTCTCTGTCTGACCATCAGTTTGAGGATGGTAAGCCATGCTAAGTGAGTGCTTCACACCCATTTGCTCTGCAAATGCCTTCCATGCTCCTGATATGAACTGCCTGCCTCGGTCTGAGACCATGTGATCTGGGTATCTGAAGAGTCTAACCATGTGTCCATATAGCAACACTGCAGTTTGTTTGGCCGTGACTGTCTTATGGGTTGGAGCTAGTATGGCAAACTTGGTTAACCTGTCGACAATGACTAAGATAGAGTCATAGGTCTTGGAGTCATACTTCTTCGATGGTGGTAGTCCTTCAATGAAGTCGAGGGATATGGAGCCCCAGGGCCTGTCTGGTGTTGCTAGTGGCTGTAGCAAACCATATGGATGATGACGAGGAGCTTTGTACTTAGCACATACAGGACAACTTGCTACATAGTCTGCAATCCAAGCTGTCATGTTTGGCCACCAGTAATGTCGCTGAGCTGCCTTGATGGTAGCATCTCTTCCCACATGTCCAGCAGTGATACCATCATGGCATTGGGTCATCACCATGAATCGCAGATGCTCTACAGAGAGGGACTGTCCATCTACCTCTTTGGCACTCCTTGAGTGTCGGTTGTTGGTCCTCCCTGGCATGGTTACTTTGGGGATAACCAACCTTCCTCCACTGTACCATAGGTTGTCCTTGAGTTCGAAGGGCTTCTTCCTATGTATCTCCTGTAGCTCTTGGTCTAAGGGCTGGAAGATCTTGACCAGGTCTTTGAGACCTTTTGATGCTATGGACTCCATCAAGAGCATAGGGGCCACTAGGGTCGAGTCATGGTCTGCTGTCTCCTTGAACACTCGAGGAGGCAGTAGTTGCCTCACATTGTGATCCTGCTCTTCACCAGCTGGTTGCATGTCTGTCCTTCTGGTGAGAGCATCGGGTTCACCACCTTTGTCTCCTGGTCGATACTGCAATATGAAGTCGAAGTCTGCTAGTAGTATTGCCCATCGAGCCTGTTGACCTGTGATGTGTCTCTGTGACTTGAAGTACTTGAGGGCTTCATGGTCAGTGAGGATGACCAGTTGGCTTGGTAGTCCAGCTAGCATGTGTCACCACTGAGTGAGGCAGGCGACCACAGCTAGGAGCTCCTTGTCATGGATTTCATAGTTCTTCTCAGCAGAAGACATCTTCCTAGAGTAGAAGGCCACTGGATGCCATCGTCCTTCATGCTCCTGCTTGAGTACTCCTGCTATAGCAAAGTCACTTGCATCAGTCTCCAACCTTGTTGGAAGGTGGTAGTCAAAGTGCTGAAGCACTCCTGCTGATGTGAATGCCTGGATGAGCTTGTGGAAGGCCTGTTGGGCCTCCTCTGGTAGCTCGAACTTCTTGAACCGTTCTATAGGCTTTACCAGTGATGTCAAGGGCTTGGCTATGCGAGCAAAGTGGGCTATGAACCTTCGATAGAAGTTGGCAAAACCCAGGAACCTTTGGATGTCATGGATTGACTCTGGC